TTCAATTCCAAATTGAAAGGCACAATTCAAATGACAATTCCGAATTAGAGCTTGCAAGTGAGAGAGGAAAGCGCTGGCCATACCCCAAAGCTTAGGATTGGTTTAGTATTGCGTGCGTAAAAGGAAAAGCTGAGGGATGCTTTGGGGATTTTGGCCTGAACAAGCATATTAACAGTTTGGGGGGAAGTGAGTGCTTGCGGTGGGTGTCCCTTAACTCGGCGCCATGTTGAGCGGCTGGCTTGAAAGTGGACATGTTGAGTTGTTCTCAAAGTTACCTTTTGGGATGGATTTCCTTGGGGCCGAATTTCCTGAACCACGGAGGTGAGGGAGGTCCGTTTCGGTTTGTCTCAAAGGACCCTATCAAATGTGGTGTACCCAGAAGGGTACCAACTCACAAAAAGACACACACACACAACACACACACACACACACACACACACACACACACACACACACACACACACACACACACACACACACACACACACACACACACACACACACACAAAAACACAAACACACACAAACAAACAAACAAACACACACAAACAAACAAACAAACAAACAAACAAACAAACAAACAAACAAACAAACAAACAAACAAACAAACAAACAAACAAACAAACAAACAAACAACACACACACACACACACACACACACACACACACACACACACACACACACAAACAAACACAACACACACACAAACACAAACACACAAACACACAAACACACACAAACACACACACACACACACACACACACACACACACACACACACACACACACACACACACACACACACACACACACACACACACACACACACACACACACACACACACACACACACACACACACACACACACACACACACACACACACACACACGCGCATTTAGCGGGTTCGAGGATGTCTTGCCATGGACCCGGGAAAGGCCCGTCTCAGGTGAACGTGGGCCATATGACCTTCTCGGTCATGAGCCCAGACGGGCCGCCGCTCTGAAGGCATTCAAGGAGAGTCACCAGACTGCACCCTCCCGTTTGCTGAAATGAAGATTGTTTACTTTCTCCTGTTAGTTTTTTAGAGGGAATCGATTTCACTACTGGAAATCGGTTCTCTTCTTCTTATTATTTTTTTTTGGGGGGGACTTAAGCAAATGGGGGCACCCCCCTGTTGTGGAGCAAGTTTGGCATAAGTAGAAACCAAGTTTGTGGTCGGCATGGCCACCAGGGCTGGACGCAAGTAGCTCAAGCAGCCAGACTCGCCCTGGTCTTTATAGGGGAACCCAGGGGAGGTTGTGTGAAAGGCGCTGGTTGAAGATGCATTTTAACGGACAGCTGGTTTGACGCTGGCTTTGCCTTTGCAAAGTCATAGCTGCAATTCTGCAAACAGTGATCCAGGTATCAGCAAAAATTGGCTTCACCCCTCAACAGGGGGCATGTTGTGTATCCTAAGAAGTTTCGAGTGCTCCCTTGCATCGTTCACCTATCCTGAAAGTTGGCTGTGTTGAGATGCATATGGTCTTTCAAAGAATGCAGCCAATGGAAAACGCATCAGAATGCTCCGGCTCTGAATTGACATGGCCAAGTCTTCATGTTGCACATCATCCTTTACCCCCGCTCGCGGCGTGAGAGTGGGCACAAGGGCTCCCTCGCAGAGCTGCGGTCAGTCTTCATTCATGTGGGGCCCACGCAGTTTGAGCTTTGCCGGGTGGTTTGCTCGCAACTGAGAGACAAGATGGAAATCAAAGGTTTTCTCCCGCCTTTGCGATGCCGTGGAAGAGCGGCAGCCGTACCATGTCAACCCCGCATGGCTCCTCCATGTGGGGTTCTAGTCTATGGTCAGCTTGGGAGGGACTCGCTTTTTTTTTCCGGCGCAACATGCACGGGCAGGAATTTGTCTTCGTGGCGATGACTTCTTGGGACGGTCGCGTATGGTTGGGGGGTGATCCCCATGTAAATGATGGCCCCGAAGGGTCCAGGACCCAAGCCCGCAGAATCCAAGATGCCATCAAGGGTTCCGTACAGGGACCATTGGCTATTTGAGAGGAAGGGGCAAGCTCGTGACGAATGGTCTACCCCTATCACTACACTTGGTTTTCAAGTACCCAAAACTAAGTACCTCAAATGTCACACTTGGCGTCTCTTCTTTTCATGCAGAGTAAAGGCGCAACGTGGTGGATTTGCGTGACCAGATTCGGCAAGTTCAGAAGCACTTGTCCTATCTGCTCAAGCTTGCATGAAACTGTCTTTGTCCAAGGGTCTGTGAGCCAAAACTACGGAATCCAACCTGCGCCCTTTCCCAACCCCTCCCCCGTTTCCACCAATGATATCCCGAGGTCTTATGGCCTTTCTTGAGTTAGGGGAGGGGGTGGGATCCTTTGGCAAGATAAATGTTTGACCTTAGACAAATCTGGCACCCCCCCAGCATGGAACGACCCCGCACAGGACGATTCCTTTGAAGATGGATCGGCTTTCGGGATGTGTTGCTTCCACGCCAATTGTGTGTGTGTGCTTTTGTAGGATGCCCTTTTTAAAGGGAAACCAACAAGAAATCACCCGTTTTGGGGCTGCCATTTTGACACATACCCATTTGCAGCCGGGCAAGCACCAAGTTTCGCCCAGGCTCACCCCCCACGTTCCGGACGTGGTCCCAAGCACCGAGGAGCAGGACGTGACTCCCCCCGCCCATGGGCAGGTTTTGTGACAGTCAGCCACGAGGAAAGGCCCCTGGAAAGGATGTGACCCCTCAGCCCAAGTTGGACTTTCTGAGAGTTCTTCCTTGATCCTTTTGCCGGGTCCCTCAATGGAAACTTGGATGGGATGTTCGATCCGGAGATCCCAATTTGAAGGTGGATTGGTCTCCCCGTTTGAGGTCGGGGTGTTTAAATCCTTGAGAATGTGTCCAGCATGGTTGTGGAAATGGAATGGGGTTTCTGCGATACACCAAGGCGGCAGTTAAAGAGACAAAGCGGAAATGGCAATCCCACTTTGGTACTGTGGATGGCCGAAATCATGCACCACCTAAGAAACTCTGGAATATCAACAAACAGAGGTTTCGCTTGGTTTCAAACTGCCGCGAACGGGTTTCGTCCATGGACAGTATCACAGACTTCTGGTCATTTTTTTCCAACCATACGACCACACCCCAAACGGATTCCATTCTACCCGGGTCGCTAGGCCTCCTTTTGGGTATGACCAACGTTTTTCTCCAGCCAGGTGGGTGCGGATCTACTTTGTAAACCAAACCGCGCAAGAATTGTTTTTTCCTTGTCCTTTTGGGCTCATCCACTCAGGAAAGCTGTTCATGGCTAGCCTTTGCGACCAGTCGCCGTGCGACCAGTCGCCGTGCGACCTTGTGCTTTCTCGGTGAAAAGTGCAGAAATCAGGGGAAACAACAACAATACACAAACAACACGCTCAAAGCAGTGCCACTCAGAAGGGCGGTTTGCCTCACCGAGCAAACCATAGGTTTCCCCACGTATTTAGGGCCCCTTCGGTGGATTTTTCAAGGCACCAATCCTTTCGTTACTCAAGTTGGTTCCAAACCCCAAGGCCCTAAGGCCCAGACGAAGGTTTCTGCACGAATTTTGTCAGCGCCGCAATGGGGTAGCCGGGGGTCAAAGACCAATCCAGTAAGCTGGGGTTGGCAGCTCCCATACTCCCATTTTCCCCTTTTTGCGGGTTGGTTCCGCAGTTCCCCACGTGAATGGTGCCCCAAAAAGGATTCCACCTGGTTCATACCTTCAGCTTCCCTCTAGTTGGTGGACTGGTTTGGGGATTTGGAGCCCATGTGAAACCAACTGGAGTTTAGGTAATGTCCAAACCACGCGCCAAAGCACCGGGCTCGCGGGAAGGGGAGCACGAGGTTTCGAGTCAGGACACGGAGCACCGCAGGGCCGTGGCTCGGCAGAAGTTCCGACAACTGCGCCAGGCCGATGCGGAAAGGCGGGGCCCAAGGGACCGGAAAGGTGGACGTTTTTTTTTCGGGCGCGTTTTCGTCCGGAAAAGAAAAACAAAAAACGGGGATTCAAGGGAGGTACCTCAAAAAACCTCCAGCGGTTTCATGAGACTCAGTAAGCTTGTGTTCCCTTTTTGGTCCATTTTTTTGGCGATTGGGGAGTGGGCTTGTTGGTTCAGAGCCCCCTGTGGAAGCTAAGGGTGGCACCGCGAGTAACTGAGCAAAAATCGTTGAACAAATCATTGTTCCATTTGGGAAGAACCCGACGGAGGTAACTTGTTCATTGGGGATGCAATATGCAAACACTTGGATAGAATCAAAGGTATGTTTTGGGGCGCAGTGCAATGGAGGAGACGGCGACACACAGACGCCCGGTTGCAGCCTGCCGAGCTGACGCTAGGTCGTTTGGCTCTACGGCAACTTCCTAACGTTCAGCCACACTTGCTTCAGGGCCGGCAGGATACGCAAGCGTGCTTTTACTTGCTTGCCTTGCATGAGTCAGTTGTTGCTTTGCCCAAGTCAACCACGCATGGCCCGTGGCTATGGCTCCAAAGGCGATTATAGGCTCGAACATGGTGCCAGGATCAGACATGACAGAGAGCACGAAGTTCCTACTGTCTTAGGCTTAGCCGAGAGGAGGGCAATAACATGAGACTCTTCGCCAGTTCGGCAGAATTCGCGAATCGTTCTACTGAGTGAGCTCCCTCCACTAGTGCTCTGGAACAGCACGTCACTTGCCCAAAGCGAATGGACCTTTCAGTCTTCAAGTTTCAATAGGCCGATCTTGTACTATCCAGGTCTTGGCAAGGCACTCATACGGTTGAACGTGATATTGCGGATACAAGAATCCGCCATGTTTTTCTGCAGGCCAAAGGAACACCAGGCCAACTTGTGCGCAACCAGTCCAGAGATGTGGGCCGTGCGATGGTGCCTTCTCGGGACAGCCTGGTCACGGCAAAGCTTCTTCGAGGAGTGGTCCCCCTGCCACGAGCAACGGGGCCATGGGAAGAAGGCGCTGGTCACCGGGATCACCGGAATGCTGGGCAGCCACGTGGCCTGGACGCGTTTTTAGGCATTTGCCAGTCGTCCTTTTCCTGTACTGCCTCTCCTCCTCATGTTTTTTTTTGCGGCGGGGTTGGCGAATGCCGGAAACGGCCTTCTCTTCTCTGACCAACTCAAGCCTGGGTCAAAGAGACTTTTTCAGTTCTTTGGTTGGCTTACCTTGAAGCACTCGGTTGTCCAAAGCGAATCTACCTGTTCACCCTTCGGTTTTTCCCATTTTGGCCCATTTTTGATAAGGGTCCCAGCAGATTAACCTTTTGTTGCCAGGTTCTGTGGGCAACTGGAACTTGTGTTGCGGTACTTGTGTTTACTGGTTCCTTGGTTCTGTTTGCGTGTGTTGTCTGTCTGCTTGCATTTATGTTGCTTTCTTGGTCTTAATTGCCCTCATGTTAGGGGCCAGCAAAGAACTTGTTCGCTGGCACGCCAGATTGGGAGGTGTGGATTTGCACGTCGGTGAAAAGCCGATGGCCACAATCAGAGGAATCCCATGAACTGCCCCACAGAAGGGGATGCCGGGTGGGCATGTCAATCGGACATGAATGTCCAATATTGATTCAGGCAGCGGAAAAAGGTGGGCCTTCAGGGCGGCCTTCATGGCCTTTAGTCACATACTTGGTCACCATGGGGGTTGCTGTAGCTACCATTTCTTCAGCAAACGGTTTCGATGCGCTGTTTGTGGATTTCACCTGTTCTTCCCCCTCTTGGTCCTTTTTCCTAATCTTCTGGTACTGTGTTAATATGCTCCAGGGGTGGATCCACAGATTCGCCACGTCCAAGCCGTTTTCTTGAATCTCGTGCGGTTTCTGAACCAACATGTGGGTGTCGGGTTCAGGTTTTGGTCCATGTTTCCACGCACACCAGGGCGACCCATTTTGGAGTTCCGGTTTTTGAGCTACAGCCATGCGACATTTTTCTGTGCGTCTTGGAATCTTCCCCTCAAGTCGCGGATGCCGCAAGAACCCCGCGGCTTTGGCCCAGATGTGACACATGCGGCGTAGCACTTGCCATGTTCATGGATATTCATGTTTGGTGCATTTTGCCAAGGGATGTTCGGACTTGAGAACTTTTTGCCAACTAATGGGTTTTCCATCAAGCCACTAGAAGTGAAGCTTTTAGAGGGGGAGCAGAAACTAACCGAGGCATGGTGCAAACGCATGTGGCGGCTAAATGTTTCGAGCAGTGAGCCCTGTTTCACATCGATTTCAATAATTTGCACGTTCAGGTAAGGGTAGACCCTTTTTCGTCTTTGTTTGGTGGAGGCTGGTTTCTGAAAATTTAAGTACATGGCTTTCGAAGCAAGTTTGTGAAACCCGATGTTTTCGCCCTTCCTCTTCCCCTTTTGAGGGGGGTTCCCACCCTTAAAGTCTCGTTTCGCTTGGTTGTACAATAATGCCCAAGCCCACACACCCAAGTAAACATCACGCCAAATGACATCTATTTCACAAATCCTTGTTAATTGATTTGGTTACAAAATAGAGGGCCCTGGTTTGCCTGGTAGCTCAATCATCTACCAGGGCCATCTATTTTCCAAAAAGGACCTCTGTGGAAACAACCCCTTGAGTGTTGTATCCCTTGACTGCCTTTGGGCCAGCATGTTCACCCGATTAGTTGTTTTTCGCGACAAGGTGGCGGAGGCTCTGCTGGAGCGGGGCTACGAGGTGCACGGGGTGGTGCGGCCCCGCAGCAATCTCCGCAATGTGGCCAGCTTCCAGGCGCGATCGGTGCATGCGCGTCATGCACTCGCGGGCAACCCTCAAATGGTGGCTTGAATTGGTTTGAACATCCCAATCCAACCACTAGGTTCCAAAATGGGTGGTGAATTCACCTACCCCAAAATGGTACCATTGGTTTGGATCCACAGCCTCCCAGTTTAGAGGGAAGCCCTCACCTTAGAACACCTCAGGCTGATGGACCTCGTGTTTTTCCTTGATCCTTTAGTCAAGTGATTACAGGCGAGCGCGGCACCCTCCCCACATTGCCAACTGGAGAAAAATCCCTTTGAAAGGGGACCCCGTGGTGAATCGGCGACCGACCCATTTCGCCCAAGTTGTTCCTGTGAACCAAACCAACAAACCAACATGTTATGTCACCAGCTTGTTATGTGTATAAATATATATATATATATATATTATACATATATATATATATATATATATATCTAGCCATGCAAACACCAAGTCGTCCCTTGGAACCTATTTCCAGCTTCGAGGCTCAGCTGCACACCGCGGAGCTCACGGATCCCTGGCGCGTGCTAAGGTTGCTGGCGCCTCGGCCGGGCGGTTGGGGGTAGGGGTTGGGAGGGGCGGCTAGGGGTTGGGGGGGTTGGGGGGGTTGGGGGGGGAAGGGGGTTAGGGGTTGGGTAAGGGCGGTTAGGGATTGGGTGGGGCGGTTGGGTTAGGGGTGGTTAGGGGTTAGGGGTTGGGTGGGGGCGGTTAGGGGTTGGGTGGGGGCGGTTAGGGGTTGGGTGGGTGCGGTTGGGGGTTGGGTGGTTGGGTGGGGGCGGTTAGGGTTGGGTGGGGGCGGTTAGGGGTTGGTTTGGGTCGGGGCGTTGGGTGGGGGTTTGGGTGGGGTTTGGATTTTGGGGGTTGGGTTGTTTGGGCGGGGGATAGTTTGGGTGGTTGGTCTCTGTGTCTCTGTGTGTCTCTGTGTGTCTCTGTGTGTCTCTGTGTGTCTCTCTGTGTCTCTCTGTGTCTCTGTGTGTCTCTGTGTGTCTCTGTGTGTCTCTGTGTGTCTCTGTGTGTCTCTGTGTGTCTCTCTGTGTCTCTCTGTGTCTCTCTGTGTCTCTCTGTGTCTCTCTGTGTGTGTCTCTGTGTGTCTCTGTGTGTCTCTGTGTGTCTCTGTGTGTCTCTGTGTGTCTCTGTGTGTCTCTGTGTGTCTCTGTGTGTCTCTGTGTGTCTCTGTGTGTCTCTGTGTGTCTCTGTGTGTCTCTGTGTGTCTCTGTGTGTCTCTGTGTGTCTCTGTGTGTCTCTGTGTGTCTCTGTGTGTCTGTGTGTGTCTGTGTGTCTGTGTCTGTGTCTGTGTCTGTGTCTGTGTGTGTTTGTTATGGAATTTCAATTGGGAAACTACCCTGAACCTCCAAAGTTTATCAACCCGAATCGCCAATTGGGATGAAGCTGATTTTAGGTTTGAAGTTAAGTCAGATATAGTAACGTGAAGGATTCACGGAGACAGGTTTGGTAGAACTTCGCGGAGACATGCGCTGGTAGCTCCCAGAAAGTCAGCCGAGCCCCCCTTTAAAAAGGGGGGGGGGTGGGCGGGGTTGGGGGGTTGGGGGGAGATACTTTAAAACAAACTCATGATATGATAGTTGGTTGTGTGTACATCACCCATTGCGCAGAAAACATGGGGATATCCCACATTAGGATCATAGAAAGGGCTATTTGCCACAGCCAACCTAGTGTTTTGTTCCTCTTCCCTAGCTCTGGGGGTGTTTTGACCGGATGCTAATTGAGCAGTGCGCCCAGAACCCCTAGTGACCACTGTAGTACTACCTGTCCGAATGGGACTCTTGTAAGGCCTTTCTGAAACCAGCCATAACCATGGCAAGAGAAGCAAAACTTATAGGGTTCTGGTCCAATATTGGCAGCGGACCAATTGCTGTGGGCAACGTGATCGGTCCAAGCTGAGTTCTTACCTTCTGGCATTGAAGTGAATCAAAGTGAGGACCCATTTGAAACAAGCCTCCCCCCAAGCGAAACATGAGCCAAAACTGGATGGCCATGTTGAAGCAGCTTAAGCAAAACCTTTTTCAAGCAAGTGTCCAACGCTTGAAGACAGTCGACTGAAACTCGGGTCCCTCGGCTTGCGTGGGAATTCCTGAGGACAGGCTCCGACCAGACGTGGTGTTTCACTTCGCAGCGCAGGCTTTCGTCCCCCTCTTATGATGACAAAGTGATTGGGATGGCCCATCTGGGTTTGTTTATGGGTATCGCGGGAATTGCCAGTGTGTCAGGTCTTGGACTTGTAAAGGCCCACTAAGACCTGTCAGGTCTTGGACTTGAGGCGTAAAGGTCCACTTCATTGCGGGACTTGTAAAGGTCCACTTTGCAGATGTCGGGTCCAAGGGCAACCCGCAATGGGCAGGCCTTCAATAGTTTGTCCTTCGAGCAGCCGGCGGAGACCTTGACCACCAACCTGATGAGCACCTTGCACCTGCTGGAGGCTCGCGGAAAGATCCCAACTCAAAAGGGTTCCGGGTGGCTCGTCTTTTTGTGGCTACCCTTAAAACGAGACACATCCGTATACCTTTGCATACATATACATAAACATATTGATTTATAGACATACAGACGTTAGAGTTGGTTGCATAAGAAAACCATGGTGTCCCGAGAAACCTAGCTGAACGACGGGCCTGTCAAGAACAAACGAGAGCATTGTTTTTGTTTTTTTTTGGGGGGGGGGTTCTCTTTAAGCCGCAACTTATATAATTACAGTGTGATTTGCCGAAGACGCTAATCCGCAGAAGCATTCAGGACCCCCTTGACCCAGAAAGGCTCGAAGGTAAGAGCCTTTGCTTCATTTACGCAAACCCGTGCCACCATTAGGGGGGTCCAACCCTCCAAAAGTGGTCTGAATCCCCACCAAAATTTGGGCCACCCCAGATCAAAATCCACCAGGGGTTCTGCTTAATCCGGGGTAAACATTAACCCAGACAGTCCAAGTGGCTGGGGGGTAAAAAGGGGTCCAAGTGCCTCCTTGGGTACTTGGACCCTGTGGGTAAGGATTCCTCGTTTTTCAGCGCCCAACACCCGTCGCATTTCTTTCAGGCGGTGCGCCAGCTTGGCCTGAGCACACGCTTGGTGGTGGCGGGCTCGTCCACGGTCTACGGGGCCTCAACGGAGGACGTGAGTCCGTGAAGCCTGACTAGGTCCCCGAGCTATACAAAAGAGAGGGGGCAGCTGGGGAAAGGAAGTGAGATCCATGTTCCACACTGACTTTGCCCATGAGCGTCACTCAATATGGACCATAATCAAAAGTTGTAGTTTTGGTTGAGGGCAAAAAGCTGAGGAAAGACCTGTGTACTAAATCTTCCATTTGCCTAAGACCATGTTGATGTTTCTTTGGTTTGAAGGGGAACCTCTCGATAGTGGAAACATGTTTGCTTCTTTCCCCAGAGGGCTTAAGCAAATGGAGAACATAATAGAATAAAAAGGTCCCCCAGTAGTGCCCTTTTACCTTTTTTTGGGGGGGAGGGTTCCCCTACTTAAATAGATTACAGAAAAAAGGGTACACTTATTCTGACCTCTTTGCTGGAGAACCTAGACATGTTCCCCGTCCCCACCTAGGCGGGCCCAGGGGCAACTTTTGTCTGGCTGACCGGAGGTTCGGGCAGGTGAACCAGCCACATTTCGCGGAGTGGACTAATCGACCTTTTGACCGTTTGTTTTTTCCTCCTTTTGGGCTAGTTTTTGTCAAGGTTCTAAGAGGTGATCCGTTTATTTCCAGGCCCTGGCAAGTGAGCAAATGACGGATCATGGGGTTACCCTTCCTTGTTCCCCTTGCAATACTCAGGGCATCCGATCAGACGGAAAGGTTTGAGCCAGAACCTTAGCTTTTTGGGTCGGGTTTCCTCGATGTCCCTTTTTGAAACCTCCAACAGTACACCACCAGCAAATTGCAACTTTGGGAGGGGAAATCCAGTGACCGGTAGGATACTGAAATTAGTCGTTGCCAGACTTAGCTTGCTTGCATTTTGGGCTTTTTGCGTGTTTTTCCCCTTACCAGCAGCAAGCCAACTTTTCGCGCAGGGGCTCTAAGTCTGGCTCCGAGATGAGCAGCGCAGCATCACCCCCACGCCCTGCCAACATGTGCTTGGCTGCTTGTTTTTTGTGAAAGATGTCGCGTTTTGTCTAACTTTTTGACAAAGCCTAGTTCGCACGGCATTGAGTGAATCCCTTGAAGGCGACGCCGCCCCCAGAAGGATCTGAGCTGTCCATGTTTTTCTCAAAACAGGGCTGGGCCGTCTGTAAATGCATGTCTTCAATTTATGGGCAAATTGTTAGTTGTGCGCGATTGGTAAAACCTGCATCGGGAAAGGTCGGCGATTGGTTAGATCTCCGTGTTTGCTGGTAAGATCTAAACCCTAAACAGTACTAAACAACCAACAACAACCAACAACGGCCAACAACGATCAACAACAACCAACAACAACCAACAACAAGCACAAGAAGCACAATAATAACAAGAAGGAAGAACAAGAACAACAAGAACAACAAGAACAACGTCAATGAACCATTGTGGATGTTTCTTTGGATTGTTGCTTTCTTTGTTGGATTGTTGGCTGGCTGTTGGGCTGGGCTGTTTGGCTGGGCCGTTGGTTGCCTCTCTGCTGCCAATGCTGACAGCAGCGCTTTGGCTGACGTCTTAAGTTGCAGTTCCTTGTTTGACCTCTTCTCGCTATGAAGAGGAAGGCTACCAGCCAGGACCGTGCTGAGTTTGAGCTCGACTTAGCTACTACAGGGATTTGACAAAGTCGTGCCTCCGTTTGAGGCATTGCTTAAATTCCATGGGGGAGAGGGCTTCGAAGAAGTCGTGCCTCTTTCCAAAACGCATAGGAACTCTGCATGTTTGAAGGGATAGGCTTTTGGGAGGCATTGCAGTTGAAAATTGTTATTCCGTGGGGTTTAGGATGGTTTAGGCATGTTCTATCTTATCCGCCTAGGAGCGTTTACAGTGTGTTTTGCAATCTTGAGACTTGACGTCTCTTTTGCTACAGCTGGTTCGAGTCGGCACCTTGCTTTTCCTCTCATTTGGACTAACCTGGCGTGTTTGCAGGGCTGAGCGGGTGGGCTTGAGGGGGTGCTTATTATTTGGCTGGCGCCTGTGCAGCGCTGAGCCGGTGTGCTTGAGCGGGGGTGCTTACCATTTGGCTGGCGTGTGTGCGCAGGGCTGGGCAGGCGCGCTTGAGCGGCTGGCGTTCGCAGGTGCGAAATTGAGTCGAACAGTGGGTGCGGAAGTGGGTTGATGGGAGCGGGTGCAGAAGTGAGTGAACTTGTGGGCGCGGGTTCGGCACACGTGGGCCCAAAATATCCCAAAATCTTCAACGGACGATCGGTGATCTCGTTTTGATCTCGTTTTGATCTCGGTTTGATCTCGTTTTGATCTCGTTTTGATCTCGTTTTTTTGCCAGGGTGCATTGCATATGTGCCTGCCTGCCTTCCAAGAGCCTGCAAAGCCCATCCGTTGTGTCACGTCTTACAAAACTCTCCTGCAACAACCTATCGTATGCTTGGCGTTCCATTGGTTTTCATGTTCCTGCAGGCGCCTCGCGGGGCTGGAAAACATGCTTTGCCATCAGTAGCGTTCCATTGTGTTTCAGTGTTGACACCTGTCTTTTTGTAGCATGACCAGCTCGGTGATGTCAAGCGTTCCATGGGGATTGTTGCCGAGGCGTGACTTAGGAGTGACTTCTTGGAATCGGCGTTTACATGGGGGAACACATGGCCACACAGATAAAGGAGTGACTTAGGCATGACTTTGTCGTTTGCCTGTACTGCCTGATGGCGTGAGGACCGCGTGGAAGAAGAAGAGCAAAAAAGACGAAGGACAAGGTTATCCACATGCCTGCCCCTCTGTGCGCTTGCAGGGGCGTCGTTTGCAACCAGGCCGCCCCAGTTTAAGGCCAAAACGCAAAGGGGCTTCAGGCCAGCAGCCGTCTCACGCATCCTGGCAGGTGCCCCTTTAAGACTAAGCCGGACTTGGACTCACGCCGTTTCTCAAAGGTAGGGCTTCAGCGTTGTTGTTGCTGTAGCTGTTGCCTGGAGACTTTGTCTGAGGTCTGGAGTTGTGGGGTGAGGCAGCAAGCGCGCAAGACCCAAGGCCTGGCCACTCACTGTCAGCCAGTAGTTGGAGCCGCGCTGTGCTCAGGGAAGGAGGGGTGAGCGCTGACACGCAGCCAGGAGCTTAACTAGAGCGAGTGGCGTTGGGTGCCCAACTGCAATCTGAGGCAAGTTGCACAAGCGCCAGCGGAAGTGTCCCAATTGGACTGGCGGCAGGCACGGTTGGAAGTGTCCCAATTGGACTGGCGGCAGGCACGGTTGGACATTGACATTTTCTTCCTGCCATGGGACACAAACCAGCTCCAGCATATTTGCAAGCATTGGGCTTCTACGTTTGCCCCAAACCATGAAGGTCTGCAGCGAGCAGCCTGGACAGCAGTACTCTTGGGGTGTCTTCGTGGCTGGCCACTTGATTGAAGGACAGAGTGAAGAGCACTACTACCTACAAAGCAAGTCGCGCTAAAAGCAGAGCAGATCGACACCTCGGCACCCTTAACAGCAGCGGAGGAGCAACTGGTTGCTTCAGCCGACTTTCAACGGAAGAAGACAAAGAAGAAGGAGGAGTTCTGGACGTTTGCACACAAGGCTCCTTGGGGCCTAGCGCGCAGCAAGATGCGGAGGTCCAGCTGGTACCCCAGCTGGGCAGGCAGTGACTGGCCTCAAAGGGGGTCAAATGCAAGCCGCTCACAGGCGCAGTGTCTTGGCACAACAAATCAGCAGGAACAAGTCAAAAGCCGGAGCGCAGGATCTGTTTGCAAAATCCGGCAGCTCGGTGCGATGGCTCACCCAAGAGGAAGGGCAAGGACCTCCTGAACACAGCAGCCATCGTTGAAGACGATACCCTGTGTTCCCTGCTCTTGGCCTGCTTCGAGCGCGGCGAAGGCAAGAGGACGCACTCCAACAAGCTTTGAAGGTTGAGACGGACCAGTGTGCAGTGTAGGGCCAAAAAGCTCAAGGGCCTTGATGGCAGCCAGAGGAGTTATAATTGAAATGCAGGCTGGAAGACCTGGAAGAGTATTTCTTCCAGCTGTTTCTTGGTGAATGCAAAAGCTTTGCTGGCCACGTCGCCAGACGCTGGATCACTTCCGAGTCAACCGAGGGGTTTGAAGCCCCATTTTCAGCTTTGGCTGAAAGACTTCACTGTCAATTTAGACTTTACAGCTAGGGCTTCTGGTGACTGTGACTTGCGCAGCTTCCTAGTTTTGCAAAGCATCCTGACACAGGCCAGTCCAGCAGGGCAGCCTGGCACCCTACCCGCACAAACAAGGCGTCTGCAACAGCAGCACTAGCACCTGCGTTGTTCAAAGAGGAAGTTAAAGAGGAAGGCGAGGACGAAGAAGATCGCTTGCCATTGCTTCAACCTCAGGCAAGATTGCAGGTTGGGCTGGAAACGGAGTTGTTCTGTGGCAGTGAGTATGGAAGCTGGCCACCGCTGCAAGCTTAGACCGTCTGGTTTGAGTCGCAACTTGATTTGGGCGTTCCAAGGCAGTGAGCGCGGGAGACCACCGTATATGATGGAGCTCGAGAGAAACACAACCCACGCACAGTTGCATATGCATATATACATACATCCAGAGTTACAAATTGAATAGAACTTCATTGCAGAACCAATTTCCTTTGCATTTTAATGGGCTTCCAAATGGAACTTAAACTAGAAACGTGTCGAGAATATGATGTTTCGATATAAACTGTATCGAGTAGTTGAAAAGCTTCAATATATATATATATATATCTAAATGGTCCCGTGTTCCGTGTTGCTACTTTTCCCCCCATGGTCCGCCAGGACCCCCCCCCCCGGCCCGAGACCCCGGATCCTGGCACCCCCGCCCCGACCCCCTGAACTCGCACCCCGACACCCCGGCAACCAACCTTAAATACACCCTAAACCAAACCCTAAACCGTAGACCTCTAAAAACCTAAACCAACCCTAAGTCAACATAAGCCAACCCTAAACACACCCTAAACCAATCCCTAAACAATAAACCCTAAACCTAAACCAACCCTAAACCTACCCTAAACTAACCCTAAACCAACCCTAAATACACCCTAAACCAAACCCTAAACCGTAGACCTCTAAAAACCTAAGCCAACCCTAAATCAACATAAGCCAGCCCTGAACTAACCCTAAACCAATCCCTAAACAATAAACCCTAAACCTAAACCAACCCTAAACCAACCCTAAACTAACCTTAAACCAACCCTAAATACACCCTAAACCAAACCCTAAACCGTAGACCTCTAAAATCCTAAGCCAACCCTAAGTCAACATAAGCCAACCCTAAACTAACCCCAAACCAAACCCTAAACCGTAGACCTCTAAAAACCTAAACCAACCCTAAGTCAACATAAGCCAACCCTAAACTAACCCTAAACCAACCCTAAACTAACCCCAAACACACCCTAAACCAATCCCTAAACAATAAACCCTCAACCTAAACCAACCCCAAACCAACCCTAAACTAACCCTAAACCAACCCTAAATACACCCTAAACCAAACCCAAAACCAAAACCTAAACCGTACACCTCTAAACCTAAAAACCAGCCCTAAACTAACCCTAAACACACCCCAACAATAACCAATTCTAAACCAACCCTAAACCACCACAACCCAATGACAGGACCACAATTTCAGGGGCGGGGGGGGTACTTGTCCGACCCATGACCATTGGGGGGGGACGCTGTACCATATATAGATAGAAGTGTTGTAATGTGTTTCATTATTTTCTGTAACTTTTCTTAAGCTTAGATATAGATATACAAATACGAGGTATTGGAAAGTTTTGTTTATTGTTACCCTGGGGGGTAAAAGGCTTTTAAAACAAAGGCCGTTACATGAACATCCTTTGTTTGACTAGCTGGGATGGGGCCTGGGTGGAATTCAAGCTTTATCGTCAGCAAAAAGCCAAGCTAGACTTGCGAAAAGCCTTAACGTTAAAGCAGCACATTTCTGCATCCTCAATGGAACAATCATGGTCTTCCCGAAACATCCATTCAGCAGGACCTTCTCAAACCCAGCAGCAAACAATGCTAGCCAGGACGAATGTGCGTGGTTTTTCGCCTGCCAAATTTCACGGCGTTTCGCGGTCTTTCACTGCAAAAAAGGGTGTTCACGCCAATTTCACGGCATTTTCACGCTTTCTTCTTGTCGATGTCCCATTGCTAAGCCCATGATCAATGTTTCTAGAAATCCCATAAAGTCGAAGACCTTGAGCATTGAACAGCTTGAACATGTTGACATGGTTTTCTCGCAGCTTTGGAAAGCGTACGTTTCAGCCACAAGCACTACAAAGCCATTTGGCTACTAATGCGGCCAAAGAAAACACGGTCAACCCAACTAAAAGCGTCCGGCTTGCAAACAAAGAATTTTCCCCACATTTCACGGCCGCTTCCTAAAGGCCTTTCTTTTTAAGGCCCCCGAACCCCAGGGTTTATTGTCGTGTCAAAAACCATAGAGTTGTATACGAGTTCTTCAACACTAGTTCGCCCCAATTATGATCATTTATTCCTGAAAACATCTTCAGAAACACATAGAAATTGATCGATATCACCTCTTTCTTCTTGTCGATTGTTGAACATTTCAAAAAGATGTATGCTGTCGAAAAGTCTATTATTTTTGAAAACGAGGTATTGACTAGTACTGTTTAGGGTTTGGGGTTTAGTCTTTTGGTTAAATCTCCGTGTCTACGGTCGCGAAAGGGTAACATCTAAGTGTTTGTGGGTAAGATGGGAAGAAGTTACCAAGCTTGCTCCGCGATTTGCCCTTCTGTGGTTGCGATTGGAGGGCGTAACACTGGAGAAACCCCATGTGCAAGGGTATCTCTTTGTTTCCTCTGTTGGACTGGTGGTTTCCCTTGAAGCCACCGTTTAGAGGGCCTAGTGCTTGTCCCCTTTCAAGGCGGCAGGCCCTCTTGATTTGAGCCGCAGGAGTGGGATGGCCCGGTTCCGGAGGAGGCCCCCATGCAGCCGGTGAGCCCCTACGGGGTCAGCAAGGCAGGGGCATCCCGGGGGGTTTTTCAGCAGGGACGTGGAACTTTTGCAGTTGTTGGGTACTGGGCATTGATTTTGCTGGTTGTTTGTATTCTGGGTTTAGCAGGAATCCGTACATACGTGTAGTGTTGGTCAGGGGACTTGAGCAAATGGAGGGTTCTGGTTGCGGGCTACTCTAGAACCATATTTAGTGATGATAGTAATGAACTACTTGAGTAGGATGCCTTGCTGGTCAGCAAAAGTGTGCCCCCCCTGGGTTGTTTGACCAATTCGTCCTTGTCTTACGAATGGGAGCTGGCTGGTTGGGACTTTCTCAGGTTTTGCAAAAAATCCTCGGAAACTCATGAAGGCTGCACGGGACTTCAGAAGAATCATTGCAGATCATTCCCAGCCAGCAAGTTGCAGGGTCAAAAAGAAGTGGGCAGTATATACATATATGAGGCATATACTGATCATTGACCACAAAGATTCCCTTGTAGTGGTGGCGTTTCACTGTGGATTTCGGATGAGGAGTAGGGATCGGGGTTGTGGAGCACTCAAGCCAAAACCAGTCGCGATAGGAACAAAATGTTGGTTTCATTGCCCCTCAGTCGGGTTGGAAAGCAAGACCTGCTCCAAAATGAAGTAGTTACCCTGGTATAAATGGTTATTTTCGGCCAGGCGAGGTGGACCGGAAGCCAAGAAGCAGCCAGTGCCCCCCCATTTGGATCCTCTCGCTTGCTGTCAGGCGGCCACCGAGATGTTGGCATTGTCTTATGCTCGTGCGCACAATCTGCACGCTGCTTGACCTGCACACTCGACATAGGCATGTACAAGACCAGATGCTGAAAGTATATGAGAGAGAGCCCGGGTTGAACATATGATGGTGTATCTTGGGCTTGGGCCAGCCCCCCCGTGGACGCTTGGCTATGTCTTAGCTAAAACGCTAACATGGTACCCTAAACAAGGTTGCAAAATCCACGTGTCCGCACGCTCTAAGCGTTTCACTTTTGGTGTCTCTTCGGCTTCCAAGTGCATCGCGGATGGGAGGAAGCATGCGCATTCACATAGAACATTGACGATTTTCTAGGTCTCCAAGAGGACGTGCTTCCGTCATTTGTCCGATTCTCCCGTATGTTTTTTTCTCGAGTCCTTCTGGCCCTGTGAGCAGTAGATGTCCAAATCGTATCGCAGGTATGGCCGTTGCCGTTGGGCTCCGCGAAACCGAGGGAACGTCCCAACACATCCCCCAGCAGCCATTTGTGGGGATGCCCAAAGGCGCGGCAGCGCCACAACCAAAAAGGCAGCCGTGGCAGTGGCACCTGGTTTTTGTTTTGTTTTTTTGGCTTGTTGCAGTGCAGGATTCAACCTCCCCTTGATCGCAAGCAAGCAGTTGCATTGTTGATTGCACTTTTGAGGTGAGGGGAGGCATACATGTTCAAAGGCCTAGCACTGCCTGCATGCCCGGTTTTTGTGGCTAGTGCACAAGCTGTTCTTCATTGAGCGGTTCCATTTTGGGGTTTGAGTGCGGCGCCGGAATCGCCAGCACACTGCTCCTCGCCAGGTTTCCTTAGGCTTCCTGAGGGCCCACTGAAACAACTTGATCCGGCTGTCGGAAAAGTGGCCTTTCCTTGGGACCCAGGTTCGCAAAAAGCTTTTGCGCCAGCTTTTGCGGCAAGCGTATGGGTGGGCCCGCTTTAAAAAAGAGAGCTTCCGCCACCAGAGTTGTGGGCGGCTCCTTCTCGAGGGTTTCTTAGAGTTCCTGTCGACATGGTTGGCTTCATCTCGGTGACATCTCGGTGACGCGGAATGGCATGAAGCTGGGGTTGCCTAGAATGCATAGCCATTAGGGGCAATGTTGACCCCATATTAATCACCCCCCAGTTTGTTAATAGGAGGGTGTTCCTCTCCAAAAGTGAACCTGGGGCCACCCTATCAAGTAATTTGGGGTCAGCTTTAAGTGACCTTTTGGTTTTCCTGCTTTGGTCATTTTTAGTGAATGTCCCCAAAGGTTAACCTTCTATTTCCAGGTGCTTTGGGCTTGCCAACCACTTATTTGACGTACCCGATCGCCCCTTTTTCCTGTTGCCATTACTGGAGACTTAGGAATCATTTTATATTGTACTAGTGACTCAAAGTGAAGCAAACAATAAAAATAAATACATTCTGCAAGTGGGCCTAGCTCTAATCATGATTAGGCTTAGGCCCTTTGCCTCGACCGCTGCGAGGTGGTGGTGGTCCGGTTCTTCATCCACCTGGCGCCGCGTGGGGTGGAGTCCCTGGCGCTCCACGACTTCGCGCGCCAGGTGGCCATGGTGGAACGAGGCCTTCTGCCGCCGGTGCTCAGGCGCGCGTAATCGACGGGGCCAGGGGGCACCGGTCACCATAGCTTTCTGTTGCGGAAAAAGATCCCCTGAAAAAAGAACCCCCCTGAACCAGCCACAGGTTATTTCTTGGGCCCTTTCCCGCGCCTAGTATCTTAGTTTTGTTACTCCTTCTTGGGTAGAAGGGGGGGTTGCAAAGAACAACGCATGCTTCGATGACATATCAAGAGTTGGGAAAAGGCCAGTGCAAAACTTGGAAGCTTGGCATGGTGACGAGGCAACACCAACTAAGGCACCTTGTGCGCAAGACCAAGAATCCGCCAATGCAAGGGCATACCAAACACTTGCTCAGAGTATGATCTATACAAAGTCAACGATAGTCATATGAATAGTCATAATAGTCACGAAAATAGTCGTAGCAATAACAATCATACTCGAAATCTAACTTGGAGGAGACACCAGCTAGTTTGTGGGCCCCAACAACGTGGCAACGTGCCTTTGACCATACCCCACCCCAAAGGAGCTGTGTGGAAAGGGTCGTTACATGTCGTTACTGAAAAACTGAGTTGTGGGCCTTATGGGTCCATTGCGTCACAATCGAATCCTGGTATACAACATGTATTAAAGTGGTCTACCCAAGCCCATGGGACTCGGGACTGTCCCTTCATCTGTGGCTTGCTTCCATGTGCTTTTTGGACTCCTGGTGGCTCCAGAAGGCTCCCTCTACAAAAGCAAATTTGGATACTTGCAGCTCCGAGTTCCCAGCTCCACTCAGAACCACCAGCTAGCTTCTTCGCTGCAACTTCCTAACTTCCTCGGAAAAAGTGCAAGCCACCAACGCCGCCCAGGCGGCAGAACCAAAAACCCAGGTGACCCAAAACGCCATGATAGGAGTTGGGATGGTTTGGGGCAGGCTTTGGGGAGGGTTCCGGAAAGTTTCAGGGCCTTGCGGGGGTGCTGTTGCTAATCTTTGCGGGGTCAACACCCTGTCCGATGGACAGAATCGCCTCTGCCTCCTTCCATTAGCTTATGTCTTTACTTTCCCTTGTTGGCTTTAACGTTGGAAATTGATTCACTGCTGGATATTTTTCTGTTTTTTCAGGGAGCTTGTAAAACGCAACTGGAAGTCTCCATGTAGGCACGGAGACCTCTCCACGCGTCGCGACATCACGGACATCGTGGATTCAGCGCCAGTGGTGGTCTGCCTCGGGGAGGCGATCGATGTCGATCGCTCTCGACGTGCTAAGCAGCCAATATGGCCACGGGTCAAAATCCAAATTGTATCCCGATCAACCTACCAACCAAAACGGGATACCATTGGGTTTGACCCACAGCCATATTTATATATGTATATATATATATATATGTGTGTGTGTGTGTCCTTTTTTGGGGGGAGCCCCTTTGGCCTTTTGGCTTGGTTTAAAGGGAAACCTAAAGGAAAACCTAACCCGTTTTGCCAGGTACCCTAAGTGTCAAGAGACCCCCATAGTTCATAGTTCTTTATATACTTCCGAAGAAGGAGACCAGAAGGAGATGGACATTTCTTGCACGTCCATGGTCAAAGGCTGCCGAGTTGTAAATGTGTGGAGGGCCCAGACGTCCCCAAGAACGCCTCCTCAAAAAGGACCAGCTTGGGCCCTGGACAGGTGGGTTTCCACCATCCCCCGCTTTACGCGGGGAGCATGACGCTTTTGGGCAGTGATACCACTTGGGGGTAGTAAAAGACCCCTTTTTCCAGACCCCGGCCTTAGGGCTGGTTCGCTCGGCCGAAGGGAACGAATGGGGGGCTTTTGAGGAGGGGCTTGAGATTCCTCAGCCGTTTGATCTTTTTTGATCCTTTGTTTTGCCGGTAAAGACCCACGCAACCAAAAGTTAGAGCTCCAAATGCAAGCCCTACATTGAGGGGGAAGTTTGGAAGAGTCCCAACATTCTAGCTGTACTTCCCCATTTCTGAACGAACATATTGCCAAACAGCGGGTCAAAAGAACAATTCATGGACAAGCGCGGTTGGGATTCACGCATGGTCCCAAAAGGTTAACCTTTTATTTCCAGGTCCTTTGGGCAACCGAGAATCTGCTCTTGGACTTTGATTCACCGACCGACGCTTTGGCACCTCCCCTCAGCTGGAATTGAACTCTTCGGATGCTGATCCCGACGGGCTGGTCAAGTCGCCAGTGTCGCGCAAATCCATTTGCTTCCGGCGATGTCGGACTTGGTTTGGTTTTGCGATTCCTTCACCTGGGGCTTCCAAGAAAAATGGCGCCGGTCCCATGACTGGTAGAGTTTGGACCAGGATGGGAATAAGAAGCCTAAAGCCATCGTTATAAGTCTCCGTTCAGTGGGTTATAGCTCACCAGGCTTACGATTGCCACGTGCCTGACAAACCGAGTGCCGGGCTGCGGCTTTGGAAAGGTCTCGGTTTCGAGCGGTTGATCATGAGCCACCTTCAAGATATCTCATTTTCGGGCATTCTCGAACATAGGGACCTCTATGGTGTTGTTTCTTGTTTGTTTTTGTTTTCCTTTCAGCACTGACAAAGGTCTGAGAGGCTCGATCCCAGTTGGCAGATCCCTGGCACGGGGCTTTCGTTCGTGCAGGTGGCGGCAAAGGGCACCGTGGTGAACCTGGGCTCCAACGTCTCGTGCCGCGCCAAGTGGCGTCGCTGTCTTTCACAGGTTTCCCCCCCCCCAAAAAAAAACAGCCCGTGGAACGCTGACTCTCTGCATGGCGTCTCTGGTCTTGGATCAAGTGTGTGTTCCTCTGTTTTTCCCACCTTGTTTGTTCTTCTCCGTTTTTTTTGTTGGTCTGTTCTCGTTGTTGCTGGGCTGCAAGAAAAGAATATGCTATTTTTTGCAAGCCCATACCAAGGTTTGCGAAGCATGAGAGAGGCCAAGCTCACTTTGCCCAAAGCGAAGCGAGGTTTTGAACTATTGCACTTGTTTTTTGTTTTTGTTTTCTTCATAATGCTTTTATACTGAAGATAGTCACCATGCTTACTGTAAGTTCCTCTAAAGGAATCCAAACAGGATGTATGGGGAATTGTATGTTTTGACAGGCAGCGCTACTAATGAAGCGCGAAGCATCCCGTGGAATTGAATCCGCTGTTGCTTCTTGCTCGAGAGTCCAGTATTTGCGCTGACCAAATATGCTCACTGTTATTTGCATGGTTTTTCTTAGTTCTTAGTTTTGTTGGTTGTTTTGGGTCTGTTCATTTGGAGTTGGGGGGGTGCTGCTCACAAAACAACGTTTTTTTGCTACCGTGCCAAGGTTCGGGAACATGGGCTAGAATGTGACAAGCTAGTTTCGGTTGGGAGAAAAAGACAGGGTTAGAGATTCGGGGGAGCAACTTCATCTGACTTTGACTCTGGCTGAAGGTTCTGATTCGTTTGTTCGCTGAGGTACAGCATGCAGCATTTGCTGAACGAGTTGGTCCGGCTGAGCCCTTCCTGGGGCAACCAGAGCGACTCTCCGGGCCTGCGCAGCTGGGCCCAAGGGCAGGTGAGGAGCGGACGCTTTGGGTCCTGGGAACGGTTGGGCGTCATTCTGTTTTGAGGGTGCGCTTTTTGGGCGGTTTCAAGTGGGACCAAAAGATAAATAGCCACCAGTTTGGGGATTTTGGGGGGTCCCCCCTGTTTTGTGAGATACCCATTTTGGTCACTTTCATGGATCCGGCGGTGTGATAAGCGGCCGTGGTTTGCGTCATGTTGCGGTGGCTTGTCCAGGTATGCAACTTGGTTGTGAGCTTTTCCAAATGGGAAAGACCATTTTGTATGACGGATCTCCTGCTTGAGGGTTGGTGAGGGGGAGGGTGCGCGCAAATGCGGGTTGGATGAGTAGTTCTGCACGTTCAGCCGCAGAAGACACAGCCCTTTAGCCGGAGGACTGGCTAGGCCATGATTCATCATGGCACTGCACAAAGGCCCGAGGCCCGAAGGATGGTATGCTGTTGGAAGTTCCAAGTCAACTTGTAGGACCCTGGTTATTGGGCAGCGAACTTCCATTTGCTTAGGAATAGTTGTGTTATTGCTGGACATTTTCTATCATGTTCTCCAGGGGGCGAGAAAAGCAAATGGAAGCAACTTGTATTTGTTCCTTTGGGTTTCCCTTTCTTCGGGGCCGAGCGAGCCGCTGCGAAAGCGCCTTCTCGACATGGGCGTGGCTCAAATTCCAAGAGTTGCTGCGTGGGTTTGTTTCCATAGGGTGCAATTTGTGGTGTTCCATGTTTTGAGCCACAGCGGATTGTCTCAAATTTGAAAAATGTCGTAAAGTAAGGCTTCACCAAAATAACATGGTTCAGCTTTGTCTCAAGATTGGGGAACTCCCAAAACAAAGTGACCTTTGGCTAGGTCCCCCAGTAGTGCCCTTTTACCCTTTCTTGGGGGAGGGTTCCCCTACTAAAATAGACTACAGAAAAAGAGTACCCTTATTCTAACCTCTCTGCTGGAGGACCCAGCTGGTTTTGCAAGAAAGCTGGTCTTCCAAAAGCCTTCCCACAGTCCGCAAAGATTGTAACGAGCTCACGGGGTGAACGAGCTGGGCGCCGGCGCTTTGTGCAGCCATCCTTCAGGGTTCTTCAACGACCGAAATGTCAGGAACCCTTTTCGTGGATATACACGGGTTTGCCTTGTTGGTGCATCTTTTTCCTTTTTATTTTTTTTTGGGGGGGAGACAAGGAAAACACATGTTTTAAGGGTAATTACCCTAAAACAAGACAGCTATATCAGTGTGAGGCCTGGAGTTAGACAAGAGCCGGCTCCGCGCCTACGACGAGAAGGTGGTCATGGCCGATATCCGGAAAGTCCAAAAGTTGACTGGCTCCCAGGCAGCAGACAGTGCTGTGGATGGACGAGGTCCGGCAGTTGGTAGATGGTTGCTCCCATTCATAAGGTTCATCCATCCAACTAAGTAACTAGTGCAGGAGTTTGTCCATCCCCACTATGAGGGGTTTTTGACACAACGTTTAACTGCTTACCTTTTGGTTTCCGCGTGTGCCATGTCATCAAAGGTTCTCATATAGTGATTTCAAGTTGGCTGGCAAAGAGATCCTGTGGCGTTGTGATCGGCAAAGCTTCTTGACATCGATTCATGATGCCCTTCTAGGAGGGGACCCAGGCAGGTCCCCAAGGAACTCCAAAAAGCTCCAGCGACAGGTTGGGTCCCGCAGCCGGACATGCCGTTGCTGCTGCAGATGTTGCTGGACTACTGGCGCCATGAGATCGAATTCCGCTTCCCCGCGCCCTGGTTGCACGCAGACTCAACGACTCGATCCAAAGGAACCACGGGAAGTGCGCGGCTCGAAGCTCTCGGAATCTTGAGGACGGCTAAACTCTCTTTTGTGCGCAGATATGTCTTCGGTGATGTAGTGAAACCCCAAAGGACCAGTGGCGGAAACCTTCAGGAACCATATAGTGAAGCCGCAAAAAAACGATAACTTCCCAGTCGAAAAGGCCAAAGTAGTCTTAGGTTTTGCCGCTGTCTCACGTGTTGATGTCCATTTGAAAGTCCAGCAATAATTTGGAGCGCCCCAAAAGGAACACCAAGGTGATCAGGGTTCGTGATTGGATTGCTTTTTTGCACAACCTTGCCCTTCTATTACATATTTGCAGACATTTACGTTTGGACAAAGAGTATCAGGAGCTTACCCATGTTCCCCCGTTCCGGTTGCCGGAATCGAACAAGATCAGCATCTACTTGTCGTTTGGAGATTGCATTTGTGATATTGCATGTTCGTATTTCTTTGGGCTTGGGACTTACCCAAAAGCATCTCGCCCACTGGCCGCATGCCGGGCACCCAGGAGAAGGCAAACGACGAGACCACGGCAGAGCTTTGAGCGGTCAGCCAATGTCCAAACTTGCGAGCCGATCGCAGTGAAAACAAGCGGGCTCGAAAGAAGTGGGTACTGTCTTGAAATAGAGGGGCCCCCTCAACAACATGTCGGGGTTCGCTCTCTTGTTTCTCTTTCAATCCCGAAAGGCTGAGCAGCAAAACGACGGGCCAAAGTGGCTTCCACGTACTATGAAGAGCACAAGCTGTTGAACCCAGTCCCTGCCATCGTTTCGGGAAATGATTGCATGTGGCTCACTGGATTCCATGTCTCGAATCCCTTTGCTTTTCTTGGGGTTCTGGCCAAAGATGGAATCAAACCAACCACAAGGTTCTAGCTTTGCCTAGGGCCGCTGGGCAACTATCAGTGGAGAAGTTTGCGCTTGGGTTTGAAAGCCATTCCAGACATCACCCTTTCCGTGCCTGCGACACGTGTGAAAGCCGGGCTGGTGTCTTTGTCAGTGGACAGCAGGCTCCGAAAGGGAAGTTGACTTCCATTTTATTAACTTCCAGAGTAAAGGGAAGATGGTCAAACATTCCCCTCTGCTACATGGAAGTTGTACGTCGTATTAAACCCTGGTGATACTGGTTTGGGGGTAATGGACACCATCTTGGACCGACCCCCGCCCCCCAATGACTCCAGTGGTCGCAGTCGTGATGCTTGGACTTCCGTCCTGGGGTTAAAACAAACCTGGCGAAGGTGTTGCTGTGGTCACTGAAATGTTCGACGCCCTTTTTGGTCCAATACACCTTTGGGTTGGCAGGCCGACCACATGTCCGCGCGGCTGTTCGCTCTTCAGTGCCGCGTCTGGATTAGGGAGGCTGCTTTCGGATTGGCTGTCTTGCATCGGGCGGTTGCGCCATCTACTTTCACCCAATCCCAGTTGCCCAGTGGTGCCCGTTGCTTTTCTTTTTTTGTTTTGGGAAGGGTTCCCCTTTAAAGTCAACCCAAAAAGGAAGCCCTTTTTCCCATGGAAATCCACTGGGCATCTGAGCAATTCTACGTGTTTTCATGAACATTCCGAGGTCTGTTGCCACCAGCTATGCAAACCCTTGGCAACCGCAGGCAGGCAGGTGTTGAACGTGAAACCCGGCAACCGGCGGCTGCCGTGAGGTTGCGGGCTTGAATGAAACAGCCCTCTTGGGTTTTTGTTTGTTGCCGCCAATTTCCAAGTTCCAGTGTTGGAATTGATGGACTTTCAGCCACTCCTTTTTCTTTATGGTTGTGATACTTTGCGGGAAGCAGGGGGAGGGAGGGAGGTTGGACCCTACTGTGAATGGCAAGAAATCATGGAATGATGATTCCCCTGCAAATACCAACAAACAATAGTTTCCCATGATTTCAAAGTGGCGCAACATGATTTTCGTCCATCCACAGTATGAAACACCCTTGTTCCAAGTCCTGACGTTGAAATGGAAAACCCAGACTACGGGACTGGCGCCTCCAAAAGGTGAAGCCATGGTCAGCCATAGTTGACGTTTGGAACGTGACTAAAACAAGAGTCCAACAAGTGTGCGTGATTGCATTTGTTCTCTTTTTGCACATTTATATACATATGTGTATATTATATATAACATATGTACTTGTTGCATATGATGTATTTTTCATACAGAACCGCTGAACACTTGGGTGCAACAAGTAGACAAGAGCAAACATGTCAACCAGCTGGATTCAACTACGGGACCAGTGCAAGTCCAATATTTTTCCAACTTATTTCGTCTTCAAAACATTGTTTTTGCTGCAGACTAAGTATGGCGCCGAATCCAAACATCTAACTTTCTCAGTTTCAAATGCTGGCCTAGAATAAGAAGCGAAAGGCAGCCAAGGGTTGACAATTTATTCCTCCAACAAACGTAACACCTGGAGGGCACCTGCAAGATCATTTTCCTCTAAAAGGAACTCCCTGTGAGGTGCTGTGGATGGCCGAATTCCTCCACCCTGAAAATGATTCGATTTCCATGTAAATACCAACAAACGTTCTGATTTCAACCATGGTAAATGGATTTCGCAACCATCCGCAGCATGGCAAACTGGGAGGGAGGGTACTTTTTGGGGGTAAGTGCTTAATTAAGCCTGGTTAGAAGCAACTTACCATGGCTCTAAGTCTCCTTTCGGTGGGTGATATCTCACCAAGCTGAGTCTCAGCAGGTGTTTTGTTCCTTTTCGCCGGCAGGTGTCGACCTGGATCCGGACAGCCCGCAGGTTCAGGAGGCCACATTGTAAGAAGCGATTTGTTTGTGTTCTTCTATGGCCGGCGGGGGGCTGTGGGTGGGTGGAATTGGTACATATCCTCCCCTTGGTTTAGTGACTCAGGTAACCCCAAGGGATGTAGAGGGTAAATTGAAAAACACCCCTTAACCATACCACCAATTCAAAGCACCAATTAGAGGAAAACTGAGTAATGGGAAGTAACTCACTTCCTGAGCTCCTGATCTGTTTCATCTTTTTGGTTGTGAACCGTTGTTGTGGCCAGAATCGCAAGGTAGGTTTGGGTTAGGACCATTCCCGACTCAATCAATACTGGCTGACTCATCGGTGATTCCCCGCTTTATGTCTCCAGTTGGTTTCGCGTTTTTCGGGAAGAGTTGTTTGGTTCCCCGTGCTGTTTGGTTCACCGAATGACTCATTTTTGGAACAGGCAAAGTTCGGTTTTAGCGACTTCTTGGTGGTTGAAGGGAGCCAGCGAGCTGGGAGTATCCATTGCTTCTATAGAGGAGGAGCTACCAGTCCTGTAGGCCATGGTAGGTGAAGAAGTGTGGAGTTTCTAGCGAGTCCACTGAGGTGAGGCAAAGATGCTCAGGGTAGTATTGAGCTCTCCCAGGACTCGAGCCACATAGGAGTAAGAGATTACCTGGGATGGGAGGGAATATGGGCATAACTACCCTCCATCAATTAACATGGCACCTGACAGGGGGTTCCGGGAAGATCATTTCCGTTTTACAGGGGCCCGCTATCAGGTTCCTACAAACTTCACGTTGGTGTTCAATTATGCCACAAACCCATTCTAAGATTCGGGCAACAACCCAGCCCAGCCAGGTTGCAGTGCAATGCATCTCCTGCATCCTTTGCCTCAACGACAACGCTACCCTGCGCTGGGAACGCCTTCTCTGCGACAAAGGCGCCAGCCGCAGACTGTGTCTTTAATGGTGGCAACGCACCTTCGCCAGCTTTCGATGACCTGCGATCGGACCCCGAATAGAACAGCCCCTGAAAACAGGCAACACAATGACCCTAGCAAGGGTTGCACGAAGGATACACCTGAACATCACCTGGCATAGGTGTTTCAATATGGCCAGAAGGTGGGTCTGTCTGACTTGGGGTACCCTTTTTGGGTTGGTTTTGAAGGGAAGCCAAGAGGAGACTGCCCATCTTGGGTCCCCGATTTTTGTGAGGCCTGTACCCGTTCAGGCACCCTAGTAGCAAGGTCCACTTGCGACGTCACGGTCTGCGGCTTGCGACAGAAGCGCCATGGTTTCGGAAAGCTTTTCCCGACATTTGATGTGACCAGATGTGACAAAGGCAATTCAAGCGACCGCATTTTCTGCCATGGACACAAAGGGGTTATTGTGCGGAAAAATGCAATGCCCTGAAGAAGGCGATTGCAAAGTAGAATGAGTGTGCACCCCGCTCGCTCCAATCCATGTCGAATACATATTTATCACGGGGAGCGTTTAACCGGTTTTGAAAAAAAAGCACGGGTTCACATCAAAAGACTAATCATGTGTAGCATCCTAGAACCCATTTGTTAAAACCCATTTAGGGTCGCACAAAGTTGTGCAGTTGGTTCTTGCTACGCATTGGAGGGTTCAGGCACCCAAGGCCCACTTCAAAGGGAGCGTGCTCAAAGACAGGCTGCGATGGATGCGCCATTGTTCCTTCATTTCGGCAAAAGTTCTCGGAAGTGAAGGGACCAAAATTGTGCAGGAGATGCCTGACACGTAACACCACTGAGCCTCGTTTCCCCCCGAGAAGTGGGAGGATCCATGGGACCCGAAGCCCAAACCTCAGGTGAACCATAGGTTTGGGGGGTGGGGGGGTGGGTGGTGGGGGCGGGTGGGGGGGGTGGGTGGTGGGGGTGGGTGGGGGGGGATGTGGTGGGGGTGGGTGGGGGGGGATGTGGTGGGGGTGGGGGGGATGGGTGGTGGGGTGGGTGGGGGGGGGTGTTACCCAAAGATCCCTACATTTCTTTGTGTGGTTGTAAACTTTCGCTTTCCGGCCCACTTCAGGTGTGTTTTAGCCTTAGGGCGTGATGCATTCCCAGGGAAGCCGCAGGGAATGCCTTTCACCAGGGCCACCGCACAAACTCCGGGAGGGTTGTCCAACACCACTCTCAACGCAGGCTTTGACATGTGGGTGGAGTTCGGCCTCAGTCACACGGCCTCAGTCACGCGCCTCAAGCTGCAGGCGGATTCGTCGTGTTTCGTTTCTTTCTTTTTTTGGGGGGGAGCAGGCGGAACATGGCGATTTGCGCAAGTCTCAGTTTGCTTTTGGAGGGTACCGTATCCGGTGGTCTCCTCCAAAAATAGTACGTAATAGTAGGCGAAATATGAAACAAGTCTGACAGTATGACGCACCCCAAGAGGCCAAGGTATGCATAGGCGTCCTAGCTCACTTAGGTTGAAACTCGGTACTGGTTTCAGCGTTAGGTCAATCATAATCCGCTTCAGAGTGAGTCCGGATTCGCACAGATCAAACATCATGTGCCAGTTCCACTCTTGGTTTCCACACGCCTTTCAGGCCTGGTTGGTGTCCATACCCGGCGTGGGGGGGGTCCTCCGGGTGCGTGGAAAGACTCGAGCCAAAGGAAAACGGCCTGTCTTGGGGTTCCCTCATTTTGGAGACAAAGTCATTTAACTTGACCTTCTCTGAAAGCAGCCAAGCTAATGCAGGATTATGCCCACACATTGATTCATTGCCGTTTGAGAATGGCCTTCCGATTCGAGGGTGCAATTCTTTGCCTGTATCATGGGCCCGGTTTTCGCCTCGTTTGCCCAGTTGTTCAGTGGCATATGTTTCCCCTTGTTGCTTGGTGGGTCCCCTCTATCAATGGCCAACCCCAAAACGGTTTTCATGTTTTACCCGGGTCTGTTTCGGAAAGGACTTTGCGCAGCGGTTGGGAGACAAGCGTCCCTGTACCGCCTCCAACATCGCTCATTTGTGCCACCAATGAAAGAGCACCCAACACATAGTTTCCCAGGGAAGAGGACTAGGTCCCCCCAGTAGTGCCCTTTCTACTTTTTTTTTTGTTGGGAGGGTTCCCCTACTAAACTTGACTGCTATTGGGTTGGATCTTTAGACTTTAACTTCTTGGGAATTACAGGTGTTTTCCACTAAACCCCCAACAAGTTAAACTTTGTGCAGGCGGGGTCAACAGCAACCAAGTAAAATCGACTACAGAAAAACAAAGTTGGTGCCAACTTCTTCGAGCAGCTCTCTACTTCGATGACTTGTGGCCCGTGTGGCCGGAGAATGGTTCAACTGACCCCCTCTTCACCTCCCAGCTTAGCAGCTTCCGCTTCGCGCTGGTGGTGACATGGGGCATCTTGTGAGATGCGGGTTGGCCCAAGACCAAGGCTTGAAGCGCTAGAGTTACCAAGGCTTTGTTACCCCACGCCCCCATTTGCAAGTAGGGTTGCTTGGTTTTTTGGCACTGGTGTGCTAGGCGGTTTGGTTGTCTCGGTGCTCTTTTTGGTGCTGCATTTGTGGTTTTTTGTTTGTCTGCTCCTTTGGCGGCTAAATGCATATTTCTTGGCTGGCATTTGCTTTGATCTTTGACCTCGAACTTGCAAGCTTATTTGTTTCGCAAAGAGCCTTTACACGTGCTTCGTGTTTCCCAATCAAAAAACGCCCGCAGATATTGGCTTGTTTAATGTTTGTTTCCCAAGTACGTGTTGCGGAAACCGACCAAGTTGCCTTTCCCACACATTTTCCCTTCAAGAACATTGACGTATCAAAGGGGGGGCCTCTATTGTTTTCCAATTGCGCCGTTTTCCGTTTAACGCAAATTGTTTGGCCACAAACCACCCAAGATGCTTGACTATTGACGCCTGTCGTGGGTCATGTTTCAGGCAGTGGTGGAGCGATCCCCTAGAGCGGCTTGCCTCAAAATGACGGCCGTTAGCCAACACTGGTCTGACTCACCAAGTTCCTGAAGACCCTCAGTTTAGTGGTAAAAATAAGTTTGTTATTTTTATTGACCCCACTGGCGAATTGAGCCTTCTGTTAGCCAGTGCACCTCGGCCCCCTTACCAAGTGACTGAGGGCTTAGTGTGACCCAAAAGGTAAATCCGGGTGGGACCGCGATCAAGGCAGCTTTCATAGGGAAGCCTTGAGCTCATTTGGTCAACTACAATAATTAGTTTTCACACATGGCAGGTTTCCCAAAGACCACCCCCAACAAGTGACACCCTCAAAACATCGGGGGGCATGCTTCCCTTACGAAGGCAGATAATCGATTGATGAGGGTCCCTTGCAGGATATGTGCGTCAATGAAAAAGTCAGCTGTACCAGCATGATGTTTGAGAATTCCTTTGTAAGGCAGGTGATTTTTTGGAATGTATTCTTGGAGCAGCCTGAAAAGGAAGGTCTTCCAGGGTCTTTAGAGCGTCCACGGTTCTTCCGAGTCCCATTTGAGTTTGGCGACCTCGAATGTTTCCCGCCTTCGCGTTTCGGAATGCCACCTCAGTTGTTTTGCGCACCCGAAGAGAATAATTACCCTTTTTGGGCTGGTTCTAAAAGCCAACTAGAAAGCAAATAACATCATTTTGGGAGGTCCGATTCCTAACAAAAAGACCACTATTGATACAGAGCCAACTCACACGGGGCTTGTCATGGCAAGGTTCGGGCCCTAAATGGTCCGAAAAATGGCCCCCCTCAATTCACTAGTGACCAATTGCCACTAGGATATGCAATTGCTCGCTCCCCTTGCTGCTCCGAATCACTTTGTGAAGGTTGTCTTTGCTTATGGTCCAGATGTTGTGTATCTTGGAAATGTAAAATGATTTCAAGCAAGTGATAGCCCCACGAGCATAGATAACTCCGCAAAGCAATCGTGCTACGCAGCTCACGGGCACGGATGTTTAGATTCTAATGTGCGAACCCATGAATTAAATTCCCCAAACTGGATTCATCACGGGTGAGCTCGTTTTACCCGGGCAGGCTCATTGTGATCCGGCCAGTAATTGAACCCTTGGGTTGTCTTTGTGATGACCTCACCCCACAGGTGTATACAATTCCATGCGGCAATAGCATAATATATAAGTGCTTCAGTCTGCCTCTGCCAGTTCCAATCGAGATGGCGATGGAGAGAGAGCGAGCGAGCAGGTTCCAAGTTCAGCGGAATTCCTATGAAGGTGTTGGAAGCTGCTAAACCGCCCATGTTCTTTACTTTTCCCAAAGGGAAACCAAAAGGGGATGGGTGATTTGTTGATTTTCCAAGGCCGGTTTGACACAGTCTAGGACCCCCAGTAGTGCCCTTTTAGCCTTTTTTGGTTGGGAGGGTTCCCCTCCTAAAATAGACGACAGGGAAAAATCGGGTACCCTTATTCTAACCTCTCAAATCTGGAGGACCTAGCATATTTTTTAGGTCCCCTTGGGTTACGCCTATCAAGCTCCACCGTGCCCTTGCGTTCCTCCAACAGCGGCTTTGGATGCCCTTAGGCCTGCTTCGAGCTCCTGAGAGATGCACGCAAGAGGCGCCAAAACGTTGGCACGAGGATCTGGGACAAAAGGACAACTTCCTGGAGTCCACTTGCTGAGCTGAATGTGTTTCTATTCTTGATTGCTATTGAGTTGGATCTTTAGACTTTAACTATCTTTATTTTTTTGGGATTTCAAAGGGGGTTCCATTAAACCCACAAAAGTTAAACTCTTTGCAGAGGGTTCAACAGCATCCTAGTATTTACTTTGTTGGTGCTAAAGTTGGAATCTATCACTACTGGACATATTTTCTATTTCTTCCAGGGGACAAGCAAATGGAGGCGGGTGCTCAGCAGGGAATGAGAATGGAATGACCCCAAGAAAAACCATCCAACCGATTTGGTTTCCTTGAATGGACTCCCCAAACGGTTCATTCCCGACACTTGGGCTCGGTCATTCCCTACTGCGCAGCAGCAAGACCACGACCAAAATGGCCATGATGGCAAAGCAGGGAAGGGAGGGAAGCCGAGAAGCCGAGAAGCCGAGAAGCCCAGCGAAATGGTGGTGGTCCTTTTGGTGTCCCTTTAGGCCAACCTGAAAAGGGTACCCTGAAACAAACTCACAAAGATACATCCATCAGTTGCCTCGAATGCTGTGGGTTTGATCTTTAAGCTTTAGCTTTTTGTTGGGGAAGGATGTGTTACCCACGAACCCACAAAAGTTGAAGTTTAAATGCAAGGAGGTCGAGCCATCCGGTTGCTGTAGGCAGGACAGCATTGGGCACACATTGAATCATTGGCATCCTCACCAAACTTCGTCGACAATTGGTCTCTCCGAATCCCCACTGCGGACTACTGAGCCTTTGCTCGCAGAAGGGCCCAAAAGCCCCATTGGCCATGTAGCAAGTCCCTGGTCTGTCGGGGACTGCAAGGATCCAGGCCTCATCACGTTACACAGCAACGGGTCATTTAAGCCTTGTGGGAGAATACTTGCATAGGCGATTGCGCATGTTGCATGGTGCTTTCTATGAAGGACCTGCGCGAGCACATCACAAACTTAAGATGATCATTTATGCTACTGACTGTTTTATTGATTCTACAGCTGTTGTATAGTGATGATTTGTTCTTTGAGAGGGCTTTGGGATCTGTGATTGCGAGAAATGAGAGGCTAACAGGGCAACCTGGACAAGGGTGCAGTCAAAACAGGCAATTGCTTTTGCACTGGGCGTTTGTTTGGGCTCCATGTCAATTTACTATGCCCCCCCATGCCCAATAGGTATTGGGGCTAAGATAAGAGCGACTAATACGGCCTAGTAGGGGCCGTCCTTTTTCGTGCCTTTTCTTGACGGTGCCCTCATTGGGGGGTGACAGTCAAATAGAGCTGTAGGAAGGTGCACGGGCCTGATCCACAATGCCTGGAAACAGCCATGCTGCACCTTCAGGATTTTTTCCTTCGCCTCTTGCCAGGCCAAACAACCAACCCCGGGTCTCTTGAAAAAGCCCAAGGCAGGCTGTTCTGGCACAAGTCATCAAACTAGGCTGAAATGAGAGGGGGTTAAAGCCTCTCAGCGAATCCTTAGGAGATTCCGCAAGGCTAAGGATTCCGCAAGGAAAGAGCTCCAATGGGCCTATTGCACTTGTTTGAAGCTGCGCTTCCTTTCGCATTGGCCCGTTGCTGGTCATGGAATCCCAAACACTGAAACCTCTTACACCACACCCCGCTCCCTTTCCCTGAATCACACTCTTAGGCAAGTTCTGTTTGTTTGGCTAGGTCCCCCAGTAGTGCCCTTTCTCACCCCTTTTTCGGTTGGGAGGGTTCCCCTACTAAAATAGACTACAGGGGGATAAAAAGAAGGGCACCAACTTATTCTATCCTCTCAAATCTGGAGCACCTCGTTGGCGAGCCATGCACGTTTCTCCAGGCCCGAGTTCGACGCGGGCTGCCTGGAGGTGAGCGACGTGGAGCCCTGCGGCGAGAGCGCCGAGCTGGCGCCTGGGACGAGTCTCAGGGATCCTTCTCTTCAAACCATTGGCCAATCCGAAAATGGGGGGGGGTGTCCAAAGAGAAGGGATGGGTAAAGAGAATGGGGAATCAACCTGTCGAACTATCGCTATACTTCCATTGGCTCCAGGACTTGTTACTTGTTTTTATTTCCCCCCGTTGGTTTTAAAGGGAATCCATCACTACTGGAAATATGTTTAGTTTTTTTCCAGGGAACTTAAGCAAATGGAGGTAACGGGCCCCCATGATGTCATGAGCTGGTTGTTTCATCGTGCCCCAGAAACCCACTGTGGATGCTTGCAAAGCTCATTCAGGCACCACCGTTCAGAAACCCTGGAATGATTGGTTTGAAAGTGCTGCAGAATTTCGTCCATCCACAGTAATTATTCTTAAGATATGGGCCTTTTTCGGAGCCGTTGCTATTCCCCCTGTTTGGGCAATAGCCGGGCCACCCAGCGGTACAACAAGAGAGAAATGGGGCATGATATCTTGTGGCGCTTTGGCTCGGAAAATGGCCCCAAAGTTCCAGGGCAAAAGGACGATGGACGAAGATAATAAGTAACCAACCCTTAGTACAGGATTTGCGCCCCTCCCTTCATCATTCCCGAGCGGCACACTTTTCACGTTTTTGCTTTGTGGGTTCCCAACTTTCTTGCATGTATCTTCCGAAATCATTAGGATCATTAGGCCACTGTGTGTTCACTCTGCATCTATTTCTGGTCGAGCTCATTTGGTATAACGAGCGAAGGTAGGGATCAAGTTGGTGAATGATTCAAATTGATTTGCCTGTTTGTTGCGGGTATCTGCCCTTTTCCAGAGGTGGTTGTAGAGGCAAGCCAGAAGGAACACCGTCGTGTTTTGACTCTGCCCATCTTGAGATACCCCCGAATGCTCCACTCTGCCCATCTTGAGATACCCCCGAATGCTCCCCAGGCTAGACATATTGTTACACTAAACCTCTGATGCATGATACGGGGGAACAGCGCATTCACAAACAATCACAGGGAGGCTGTTGACAAGCTTTCGATCTTCCATTTGCTTAAGAATACTGTTTATGTTCCTCTGCTGGTTTTAAAGGGGTTCTTCACCAAATGGAAGTGATAGACACATCATGGCCCTTTTGCGGATCTGAGGTTCGCATGGTTTACGCTGCGCCGGGCGGCGACGGCTCCAAGTGCCCGTGTTCAACATGGGTGGGAATGCACCAGAAGGGGATCCACTTACTCAGAAAAGCACGGTATCACTCATAGGGCCATTTGTTCAGTCCCTGAGAACTAAGTGTTTCTCTTTTTGCTTGGCGTTCCCTAGTCAAAATGGGGCCAACCCCAAAGAAATGGGTTTGCTGAAGGACAAATCGTGAGTCATTGCTCCCGCCGGTCTCCAGGGAGAAAAGTTCGGTGGATGTGTCCTTTGTGGGGCATCCCCTCTTAATGAGCAACTGGGAGCGGAACCAACGCTCACTGATTGAAGGGTAAAACGAGCTCACCTGGTGATGGTCCTATACTTGGTGATTCCGTAATTGAGGCACACAACAATAGATTCATTGTCGAATTTGCCACGCCTGGGATGTCCCTTACTTACGGTTGGTTTGTAGTTGGTTCATGTTCCACATCGGGGCTTTCTCCAAAAAAGTCGGGACCCCTTCCAAGCTGGCAAAATTCGGGCTTTTGCCATGATTTACCATGGTTTTGGGGTTGGGGTTGAGCATGGCTGGTTTACTTGCAATATGGCAGGAGGCATCTGTTGCAACACCCAGATGCGTTGACATTTTGGGAGCCCTACCCCCTGAAAACTGGAATTGAGGTAAGGGGGGATTTCGACCCCTGGAATAAGTTCCATTTGCGGTGAGCCATTTCCCCTATTTTGAACACTAGATAAATGGAATGGGGTCTGGGACCCGGGGCCCAACCCCCGTCCCCGTCGGTAGTGGGATTTTTTGGTGGCCAGTTCTCCCACCACAGGAAGCAGGAGATCCTGGTCTTGCGCTCCCACGAGGCGGGTCGAGGGCTTGGGTTGTGAGGCGGGGGAGATGTGGGCAACGGTGGCACCGGTGGGCCTTTTTGGTGAAGGTAAAACATGTCTTAGATCAAAATCGGGAGGCCCGGGCCCGGACTATTGAACGTTTCTTTCAGCGAACCATTCATGGCCTTCGACAAAACTCGTGGCCCTCGATCAAAATCTAAACGCTTTGCGCTGTTCGCTCACTCGGATTCTTGTGGATAGCTTTGAAGTACTGTGTGTTGGTTTGCCTTGAAGTGCTGTGTTTGCTGAGTGAGTGAATCGGCGCCCAAAGGCGCGAGCTGGCTTCCAGGCTTCACGGGGCGGAATTGACAGGCCAGGCGCTTACTTGGGGCAAAGGTTGCCAAAAGTGGACTGCGCTGGGTTGCGAGCCGCAGCTAGTTATGGTTGGGATTGTCCCTTACCAACCTTCATCTACCCGGGTTTTGATCGTGGCTCATGTGGCTTAAAGGGAGAGTGCAAGGGATACCATGGATACCATCCATGCTGAGTGAGCAAAGTCAGGGCAGCTGTGGTCGCAACATGGCTTGCGAGGGGCCGAAGGATTTGCCCAAGACCTGAAACAGGTGTCCGATGGATGGGTGCCCCGACGCTGCGCAGCAGTGGCCCACAAAGCCGCTCCGGAATTTCGAGAAATGGTCGCCTCCCAGGATTTATTTTTGTTTTGGCCTCTCCATTGTTTGTTGCGGCTTCATCCCGGGTACTGGAGTCTGTCCAGCAGATAGACAACGCACCCCCCCTGAGCGCATGCGGCGAATTTCAACGCTCTTCCCAGCTTTTCTCGGAAAGGCACGCGCCAACAGCCGAATGCAATAGTGCCTTGCAGGAGGCAGTGGCCGTTTGTCGAGAGTCTGAGCAGGAGGAGAAGACCCTTTTGCAGCTCATGGCCATGGATTGCAGGGGTGCAAGCTTAACTCCTGCAACTGAAGATCTCGAACAAACTGCACTCCCGGCGGCAAACACTGGCGCGGCAAGCATTGCTAAGCATGCCGCAACCGAGATTTGCAGCGGAATGTCCCCTCTCTCTGCCCAAGTCCTTGGCAGACCGTGTGCGGAAATTCACGGTCTCCAAGACAGGCAGCAAGTGGGCCGAGTGAAGCCTGCTGGCTTCGGTTGCCGCCAACTCATAGTCGCACGCAACATTCGTTGCGGCTGCGCTACTTTTGCCAAGTTCCAAGTTAATCTGGCATAGGTTAATTCAGATTGTTGGGGTCGTTGGCCACGTTTTGGCGATTGGACGTGTCCACTCGGGATCTGCTCTGCTATTTGAATCAGCTCTGCTGCACATGAGCCCGACCTGTCAGTAGCGCCCCCTTTGCAAGTGAACGCAGCCATGCGGTGTGGGGCTCAGAGCTTGCTTTTGCAGTGGCATGTGTGTGAGCATCCGTGACATATTCCTTGGTGCAGAAATGGACAGCTGCCCCAAGATCTGTTTGCTTGCATGATTTCAGTATGCACTCGCTTAATGCCCGAAGTGTGACAAAAATCAGTAAAATTATTTATTCCTCGACTTATGTGCATATCTTGACGTGTTCAGACTGGACAACGACGCCAGTGCGCTGAGTCACGTTTGCGAGCAGATTTGCAGGAGTGATATCCGATGCAGAGTTTTCCGCACAGATGCGGGAATGGCCTGCACGCAGGGGCGTCTGCGTTTTGTCATCGGATGCTCTTTCTTGTCGCTGATCTCGCCAAACCCGGCCTAAGGACGCCTCACTGTGTCAAAACCGAGCGCGTGAGAGGTTGGATATCATGAGACCTGTGCTGGGCATCCACTTGTTTTGATTGTTGCCGACCAAAGGGCGAACCTCTGACCGAAATGGGGGATGTTTTGAGTTCCCGACGAATCTGGTCATGTTCTGACTGTCTGGCTTTGGTCTTGTTGGTCCAAGCACGGTTTGTTTTCATGACCGTTCTTGGAGCTCAGTTGCATGAGAAACTCGAGTCACGTGTCTCTAGGACGAGCTTTCAACAACTAGCCTTTGCCTTGCCGCCATAGCTTTCAACTGTGCGCACTGGGCATCCGAACCCACCGCCCGGTGCAAAGGAAGAGGAGTCGTTGGCCTTCCATACTACGTATAGAGCTCACTCCGCTCCCGACATCTGCCAGTATAAGTCTAGCTAGGAATTTCTTCCACTAACCCCAACAGCCCCAAATCACCCGCCCTGTAGACCACAACGACACTAGAAAGGAGTGTTCGGTTTGTCCTGTTTGTGAGGGTAGCGGAAAGCCAAACCGTTTCCACCGCAACAAGGAATGGCACCAGGCCTCCACGCAAGAGCCCCAAGACAAAAACAGTAGGAAACCAAAGAGCCACCCTAGAGGGGGGCAACTCAATTTTTCCAAGATGATAAAGGTTGATATTGCGTGCGTTCCCCGCTGAAGAAAGCTCAGCCCGATGTACCATTCATACATCTAGCCCATTCATTTAAAGGCGCGTGAGGCGCATAAACAAAAACCGACCAACCAAACAGAAGTGCTGTTAATTCACTGGGCTTTTCCTGAGAAGAGCAAAAGGCTTCTCTTTTGTTCCCAGGGTCCCAGTTCCACAACCAGACCCCGAAGCAGAAGGATAAGTCAGCGGTCCAGTTCAACAGGTCCCACCCAACGAATCCCAATCCTTTGCGCCAAAGAGCGAAATTGCGTCGCATTCCAAGACCCCCCCCGTCCCATAACTCCCCTGGCAGGTCCCCGAGAAACTGACCCAAGCAGTGCTCCCTATATCTCCACATCAAAACATCACCAAAAGGAAACTCATGTAATATGTGCACAAGTGTGATGTTTAACCCCAAGCCTTTCCGGCAAATCATGTATATATATGTAGTCTTATATATATATATATATATATTAGTATATATGTATATATGTGGGAAAATAGGCACCCAAAATGCAACCCCAGTAAGTGGAACATGGACTAGCACCGGCGATCCAATTCCTGGCATTTTTAAAATTTGCCCCATACCCACACACATATGCATATATATATATATATATGTTTATAGATATGTGTGTAGGGACCAAAGATATCTGTATAAATACACGGATATTGATTTACATGGACACTTCCTTTAAGGGAAGCATCCCCTAAGCCAACAGCATGCAAACAACGCGACGCGAAGGCGGACGAGGAGCACCAGACCTTCGTGGTGTGCACGCGCTCCGTGCGCTGCTCCAATCGCCCACCCAGGGAGGGCATGCAGAGGGGCGAGGTGCTGCCGTCAGGCGACGAGTCGAATCGAGACGGGGGCTGGGGGGGAGGGAGGAGAGGGAAGACAGTGGCGGAAGGGAAAGGGAGGAAAAAAGGGGAAAAAAAGGGAGGGAGGGAGGGAGGGAGGGAGGGAGGGAGGGAGGGAGGGGAGGGGAGCCCAAAGTTTTTCCCCCGCTCCCTCCCCCAGCCCCCTTGATTAAAGGGCCCAGACCTGGGCATGTTCATGTGTTCAACCTTGGCCAAGGGCTTCTCAACATCAACTAGCAATTTTCTTCTTGGCCACTGGCTTTACCTAGTGCTCTCTGGCATGAGGGACCCGGGCTTGAGGCAAAAAATAACTTTTGACCTGGCTGGATTTGCACGTTTTGATCCATGATGGGCTGGTCGCTTGGTGAACAGCGGAGTCGGGATGTGCTCTTGGCTGCAGGTTACATCATCACGGCGGTGGCGGACACGGATGGAAAACACAGCAACATCACTTTCCTGGGCCAGTTCAGCCACTTCAGCATGCAACCAGCGCGTATGTGACCCAGATGTTCAATTGGTCCCACCATTTTTTGTCCTTCTTGTTGTGCGGCTCCTCCCTAGCAGGTCAACTCTGTGAGTTATCAGTTTTTGGGTTTCGTGAATTCCCCTTCTTCTACCAGCGCGTTTTGGCAACTGCGGAGTGGTTCCCTTGATTTCCCCTCACCTCGTAGGCCAATTGAGGGCGAAGTTGGTTTTGTTCTTCCATCCCCGGGTCCCTCACTGGTTGATTGGGGGAGGAGGGAATTCGAAGGAGATTTCTGTCTAAGGCAAGCTGGAGTGGATCCCTTACAACAGTACAAGTGGGTCAAAGTAGACGGGGCAGTTCAGCACAAAGCTGGAATTGTGCTACTTTCATCCAACTTGGTTTTCGGGGGAAACCACCTCCAATTTCAATCAGGACATGCCCCACTGGAGGTGGTTTAGGTTGTGATTTCCTGCTTTGGGGGGTTGAACCCCTGGCTCTTGTAGAGGGTGAACGGGAAACCACCTAACCTCCACACCGTCAAACCAAAACACAAAGTGATGCCTGACTGTGCAGTGCTCATGGGAGCAACCCTGGCCTTACGGCCTATTGCAGACTAAAAAGATGGGTGCCAAGTTTTATTTTAGGGCCCCTCCCCCAACAAAAACAGTGTTCCCTTTCATTTCCCTTGAAAACCATCAAACAAGGGACATCCGCCCAAGTGGGGAAGCTGATGGAGCTAACTGCGCCATGCCAAGCGGCAAAGCGGCTTGAGGCCAGTCGCTCTTCGAAATGTTGCAGCCATCCGCAGCTTGAACGAAATCGGATCGATTGGGATGGAAAAGGTCACGAATGTGAAAGCGTGTACTGGGGTCGCCTCCAAAACTATGTGCATTTTAGGGTAGATACGAAGCAACATCAGACCACCCGAGATGGGGACCATGTTTTGCGGGTTGTCAAACTTCTTTTGGGCCCCTTTTAGATGGTACCCTTTTCCCTTGTGGTTTCGTGATGTTAGCGGCTTCCTGTTTTGAGTCAACCTGCAGCATTTGACATGTTTGCGCCGGACTAAAATCCTGCTAGAAACGTAGAACAGATTCAAGTTCTGGACCTGCAACTTGCCTAAGTTGCTTTGTGGATGTGCGAGATTCTCAGACCCAACCAGGTCACCAGTCTGCGAGGCTGGTATTAAGCCTATCAAGCTGAAGGGCATGGCGTGATTCTGCTAGGCCTGCCACTCCCCTGTGTTGGGATAGGCTTTCAAAAGGTAAGGGTCTTGGTTTGCGACCGTGACTGCTCTTGTCGAAGCTTTTTCGGGCGGGGCTCCCTCCAGCTCGAACGGCACTGTTTTGTTTCCCCCCGTCCGATCCTTCAGGATTGGCGTGTTCGTGCAGGGGTTCTCTTAGCGCCATACTTCTGACGGGATGATTCCCCTTGCTGACAGGCGCTTGAGAATGCAGGTGGCCCAAGACGCCCCTACTACCCTTGTGTTGTGAGGGTTTTCCTTTGGAATCAACTACAAAAGCAAGGAACGTGCTGTTGCCCCCGAAGCTTTTACAAAAGCAAGGAACGGTTGCCCCCGAAGCTTTGTGAAGCTGTTTTCCAATGGCCACGTCCGGGGGTATGGATCATGCATCAGTTTCCGTTCCCATGAAATCGAGTCGACTTGCTGGCGCTCAGTGAATGAACTTCCGGGTTTTGGGAATGAACGCAGGGATCCCCTTGAAAGAAACCCATAGGAGACGGTTTCTCTTGGGGTCATTCCATTCCCTGGTGAGCACCAGCAAGTTGACGACTTGGCTTAGGTGGTGGCCAGCATCCAGCGCTTCAAGGACCTCTTGGAAAAACCGGCTGAGCCTCCGGGTGCGGCGGGATACGCCGGGTAGGACGGCCAGGACGGATGGCAAATCGTGCTCTGGCTTTCAATATGACCTGTGCAAGTAAGTGATGATGTGTGCCGTTTGGCAAAGTCCTGCAAACAGCTCGTTTTTGTTTGTTTTTTCATGTTTGCGGTGCCTCCGGCTGCATGTGTTCACCGTTTTCTGTGTGACCAAGGCACGTAGCAGTGCCGAAACTGTGACTGGTCGCATCGCTTCCGAATCCTTTGCCTTCCGCCCTCGTGGCGGTCTTGGCAGGAGAACGTGGGGATAAAAGCGCGCCTGATGGATTGTTTGCCGATCCACTCGATCGGAAGTGAGGCATGCCCAGATTCTGGCGGGGTCTACTAGGGGAGGTCTTCTCAAAGCCGAGCGCTTGGGTTCCATAGTCTGCGTATGAAAAGTGTTTTTTCCCCCTCAAAGGCTGATTGCACAGGTCCATATGTGGAGCCGTGGGAATCCATTTTAGACTCCACAAGGGGGCTGATTTCCCATAAAGACATGACTAACGATGAGTTAGTCCATAAACTAGGGGTTCATACCAGGGGTTCATATATGTGTGTTCGCATTATACATTCAGTCTTAGACCCCCCCACTTCCGAAAGGGTGATGTTTTCTGTTTAACCCGGGCATTTTGCACCTGGGATAATATGTTTTCCACCCCAACAAATGAAGACGTGCCGTGGGAAATGTCCAAAAACAAGCGGATTGGACATATGTGACTCATGACAGCAGCCAAGCATTCCAGAGGTTCAGAGGCATCCTTCCGAATATGGCACCGCACTAAAATTGATCACCCGAAACAACGAAATGGTTCCAATTCTTTTCGGCGCTTGCTCGGCGGGATTTTGTTGATCGCCTGCTCAACTTCCCAGCGAATTCACATGAACCCATAGATCTGTACGTGATTCGTTTAGCTCTCATGAAGTCCCACGCGTTCACCGGGGAGTACTCCCGAACCGAGCGCTACTAGCACAGACCTCCTTTTCCCATTGCCAGGCTGAGCTCGCCTATTTGATAGTTTTTGCCTTTAGGATTTCCTTCATATCCCCCTTTTGAACCAGCAGTACTCAGACAACCTTTGGATGGGTGGTTTGGTGATTTGAGCCCCCTGGTCTTTCTAGAGGGGCGATGGAGCACCACCCCTGACCACCAAACCACCTATCCAAACCAACAAGAGGTAAGCTGAGTGTAGGAACCTTTGTTTGGTCATCCCTTGTTTTTGCCACAATGCCCTTCCATAGATCCTTCCTTGAAAATTGTGGGGTGTTCTTGTACAGAGACCCCAAACCACCAAACCACCAAACCACCAATCCACCAACCAGAGCTAAGCTGAAGGTTTCGCCTGTGCGCCTCAGACTTCCGAGGGCCAGACCTCGGAGATGTTGGAAGAGCCGGACCTTGTGGAGGGCGGCTTGCTGCGGCAAGACAACGCCCAGAGCTCGGCCGGCCCCGCGCAAGGGAGGTCTCGCAAAAAAACAATCGGCAGGGCTGGTGGACGTTGGACCCTTAGCACGGGGAGAGCAACCCAGAAAGTTAGAGGAGTGTGTTGTTTCTGTTGGTTTTCCTTTGCTCCGGACTTTGGGGAAAGAGGCCGGGGGGGGAGGTGAGGGATGGGAATGCTATGAGCTGACCATGACGGCTTACCTGGATCCCTGCTTCCAGGTTTTTTTGGAATTTTGTAGAATATGGGGTTGCTCGGCAAAAGGCTTTGATATCCCATGAGTTGCAGTGATTTCTTCCGGCGTCAGAGTTTTTTGCAGATGGTCGGTTCACAGCTTTCCCAAACTGAGCTTCTTTTTTTTGCCCAAAATTATTGGAACCCCAGATTTCCGTACCCAAGTTTATTAGCAGAGGGTGTCCGTTGGGATTCATCACCAATTATTGGAGGGGGACGCCCCCTATTGATAGGACGGGTTTATCAATCAGGGGTCAACATTACCATGTCCACCAGCATTTAATGATGGAGTCGCTTTCTCGGACATTGATTTTGTTGCAAAATGCAAGGGAGGACGCTGCCTTGCAGATTTTGACCGCGTGTCGACAAAGACGGGCTTCCTCGTTGACAAGGGTTGCTGGATCAATGAACTTGTCGGGTTTCGGTACCTTTTTGGGGTGTTGCTTCAATGGGGGGCCAAAAGGACAGCTTTCACCTTTGGAGGCTAACTCATAGAAAAGATGAAGGGTAGATCAACGCGTCACTGGATTCTGGGCACTGGTCATTTGACTTTTATGTTCAATGGGGAAGATGCTTTGAACTGGTTTGCGGACGTAGCTCCTCATAGCACATCATGTCCAACACCAAAGGGTCAACAAACAAATGTCGCAGCCACGTGGCTCATGTTCCAGCCTATGGTCCAGTTGGGAGGGTCTGGGGACTCACGTTTGGGTTTGGTCGCTGTTTGGTTTCCGCCCGAGCCTTATGAGCCTTTCGGCTCAGGCGCTTGAGTCACTCGCAGGGTTTGCGCCCCTGAGACATGTTTGAACAAGATTGGGTTTGAAGAGAAGTCAAAAGGACACACACTATATGGAGGTCCCGGTTTTTTGACACCCCGTTGGCGGAAACTTGAGGCTGTCCTTTGGATGGTTTTGTCGGGAAACCAACAGAAAACCCGGCAATTGCTGGTTGGTCCCCCGCTCAAATCAGGCCTTTGGCCTGTGCAATGCTGCAATGCTGGGCTGTTTGAAGGGCGCCGATCCCAAGAAACGTCTCCTGCGACCCGGCTCGCGTATTTGTTTTCCATCTCCAGGGAGCAGCGCAGCATGAACTTATGTTTTTGTTGGCAGGTTTCCGCATTGCAGTCCAGACCCAAAACTTGTTGTTATCTTTTTTTTCGGGCCGGTAAACTCACCTGAGTTCCATCAGTTGCACCAGATCTGCATCCCTCCGAATGCCCATGCCGCAATGCCAGCGGGGCGGAAGTATGATGCAGGCGTCCAGCTGCGAGTCACCGTTGTCGGGCTCTTAGCTCTTTTTGACGGTGGGTGTCTTGCCCGGATTCGGACGACTTGTTTGTTTGCCCAGATTGGACGGCACAAGGGAGCAACAACAGATGCGGGCAACACCATGCAACGGCTTGGCAAATGGTTAGCGACATGATGAAACTGATAGCCATGTCTGGATCACAAGGGAAATGCCTCGCTTGCCCAAACGCGGAGCGCTCGAGCCTTCCAGTTATTGTTGCCTCTCAAAGTTGCAAAAGTTAACAGGGCTACTTAACAGATACATTTTGCCCATTTTAAACATGGTTTTTTCCACCAAAATAAGGGGAAACCACCATTGACAAGGCAATGCTCAGGTGTATAATGCAAGGATCCCTGGTTAACCGTGCCCCTTGCCTGGATATTTCTCATTTCAGGTTTGGCAAGCGTACTTTGTCACTTCGCTGCGAGGCTGTCCTCACGGGGAAGAGCCTTCCCAACTGGACAACTCGGATGATGCTGACGGATGAGTACACCTCCTTCGTGGTCAGGTACGACGAGAAGGTGTGCCTGAGCGAAAAAAAACAACAGCTGGCAGAATACTCAACCAAGCATTGCCAAACTTAGCTTACCTGCTTTAACGTCTTGCCCTTCTGTGTTTCTTCCATTTTCCTCTTCAACCTGCAACCAGTTAACTTGTTGCAAGGGAAGTCTGGCCAAGAAACACTCAGTCAGTACTTTGAGTGTCCGGGATTAGTACCTGCGTGGTGCGTTGCCCCGTTGTGCACGACTAAAAGTGAAGCAAACAAGGTTAAATGCGTAGCTGGGCAGTTTTGTTTACGGAGCTCTCGATTTGTGTGTTCTTTGCCCTGGAAACCGGTTTCCAGTCATAGGGTTTGTGCGGTGGATTCGTGGACTGTCATATTAATCATGTTTCAGAATTTCAGTGAGGTCTTCGGCTTCATGAAAGGGCCTAACTCTCGTGCAAATGTCTGCGACATGCAAGAAATCCAATCCAGTAGTTACGTTCCAGGAGATACAAATCCCATCTTGCAAGCTCCAGACATGGGATGCAACCGCGCCTTACTCGTCAAAGGAGCCAAACGCAACCTGAATTCTGCTGGATGGCTTTGGGGGCGCTGAACATGACGCGTACCTCACACCTGAATTCTGCTGGATGGCTTTGGAGAATGAACATGACTACATGACCTTCTATTTGAAAGCGCCCAAGAGGCAAGCCCGCAAATGAATGGTCAGTGTCCAGCCATAAATGGTTGATCCTTATGCCCTCCAAGATGAGTTGAACCCCTTTGTTCATCAGCTGCGTCACTAGCACCAGACTCTTCCCCCTCCCCGCCATGGAAGTGCGGTTTGCCCAACTTGGAATTTCTGGTGGTTCTCTTTGAAATGAACCAGCCAAAGGGTGCCGTATTTTTTTGGCCACGGAAGCGATTCGAATCGAATCCTTTTTCCGTTGAAAAAACGGAACCCGGGATTCCAGCTGAGTCAAGATCAACCAAAGTAGCAAAATACACCACCCCCAAGCAACGAGACGGACACCCATAGGAATGTTCCTGCTATGTGATTGCTAGTTGATTACTGTTCAATGGTAGGCTGTAAAGAACAAAGTTCTTTGCCAAGCCAACAAACAGTGTTTTGAATTGCTTGCAACTCAAGAGCCTGCGACCAACCAACAAATGGAATCCTGGACGGCAAAGAACGTCCTCATCACGGGAACGGAATGTTTTTGCAACGCCAAGGGTCAGTCTTCAGATTTTGCTTCGTGTATACCTGGACTCTAAATGTGAACCATTTCTTCCAATTGCTTAAGAATATGTTTGTTTTTTCCCCTGTCGGTTTTAAGGGAATCTATCACTACTGGATTTCCTTTTAGATATATTTTTCCAGGGGACTTCAGCAAATGGAGGGTTTTTGAAGGGGACCCGAGTTTTGACCTCTGTGCACGCCAGAGGTCTGAAGTGAAGGCGAAGGCCGGAATCGCACTTGGCCCCTCGCCTTGTGAATTGCACGCTGGCCAGTGGGTCAGTGGGTCAGTGCCCTAGGAACTCGAGCCAACTTGACTTCACTGTTCAGATTTAGTAAGTTTTTCTTTGTTTAGTAAGTTTTTCATGTTTAGAGGGCATTTTTTTCTTTGTTTCTTGGTTCATGTTTAGTATGTTTAGTAAGGGGACTTTTGTTTTAGCATACCAAGGGTTGTGAAGTTGAGTGTTGGAGGAAGGGTGATCACAGTTGCTCAGTAGAAGCGGACCACTGTGTTGCGCCAATGGGAAACCCACACTGAAAGGGAAACCAGCGGAACTTCGGATTACTTTTGGGGGGTATGCCCGTGTCACTTGATTGGAGAGAGGGGGCCCAAATGCATCGAGGTTGCTTTGGCACTTTCGACCCGAGATAGAATTGGAGGTGCTAAGAGTCTTGTAAGCCCTTGGTTCAGCCGAAGGCTATTGGCTCTTGGCTTCGCTGGATTTCTCCACCCCCTTCAAGGTGATTTGAAAGCGAAGTCAGGGGATACCACGAGACAGAAGGTGCTTTAGGGGATGGTGTCGAGTGGGAACTGGGGAAGATGCTTGATATAAGCAGTGTTGCTTTGTTGCGAAGGGTCCAAGTGGTTTGCGGCATTTCAACTTGACCGGGGCAATGTTTGGGTGGGACATATGCACTTTGTCGGAAAGCTTTCAGGTTGTGGCACTGCTCAGGGCTGAATTTCGGGATCGATCTATCCCTAAAAGCACAAGCACGCCCTCGTCAGGCTGCCCAGAAAGAGCTGTGCAACGAATCCCGAGATCACGGCCAAAGTGCTGGGTGAATTATAACGACCTCACACGACCTCACCCCAAAGGGTGGTTTATGTGGGGAATGGCCCCCCAACCACCTTATTTCAGGCTGGTGAAGCATTACAATTCACCCAGAAAGTGGTATCGGGGTGGTGAACAGTTTTACCCACAACACCCAGGCCGAGGCGGACTCCTGGGGCTCCCATGACACCTGCGATCTCAGGCTTGGTGATCTTGAATTTGATCAAGGACACCGGGGACAATGTGCTCGAGTACTTGACGGTGAGGGAAGCTGGAATCAAAGACCAGGCGCCGAACGCTTCATGCTTCCGCAACCGCAAGATGACCGATCCATGGGTTAAATGCGCGGTTCTGGGCCGGATCATCTTCCATTTGCTTAAGAATACCGGGATCCTCCAAGGTGAGTTTTTTTGTGCTCTTTCGAGAAACAGCGCTTTCTGGCTGAAAAAGCGCTTTTGCTAGCTGTGGGCTTTTCCCAGTGATGCATGTTTTCTTGATTGGGCTTGTGCTGGAAAAAAAAATCCTCGGACAAAAAGCCCTTTTACCGGACAAAAAGGCGCAGTTGTTGGGTCAAAAAGCACTTTTTACACGAAACAGCGGAAATTACTGCCTTTTCGCCAACAGGCCGAAATTTTGCACAACCGGAGGGCCCAGGTATGTTGTTGCTTTCCCCTGTTGGCTTTAAAGGTTGTTTTTTTTTGTTTTTCCAGGCGACCTAAGCAAATGGAAGTCATGAAGGTCTTTGGCTTGGGGATTCCCAAATACACGTTGGTGCGGGCCTCGGTTCAAGGCTTTAGTTGCCCTTAGCTTGGTTTCGAGTGCCTGTATGCGTGCACTGTACCTGAGCCGCATTGAAAACCTGGCCAGGTCCCCGCCAGAAATGGGTGTGGCCACCCTCTTTATGCTTTGGGCTTTGGGTCGACCAAATTTGCACTAGGTGATTCTGGCTCACCTGTGCGCCTGGTTGCTACTGCCTGGTTTGCCGCTCCAGCTTCCTTTTGGTTCCCTGCTGGGCCCGCACAGGGTCTCCTTGCTCACCTAGGGCTTGTTCGGGCTTACATCGCACGTTTAAATGTTTCTCTGCCAAGAACCTGCTTGGCAGGACTGGTGATGTTTCACTTTGTCCAGGACCAGCAAAAACAGCAGGCCTACTAAAATGAAAAGAGTGCCTCCCCTCGGGCACAAACAAGTTTTTTTATTTTTTTCGAAGGCCGGCCCTCGCGGGAGTTTGGTTTTAGGGTTGGTCAAAGTCGGTTCTCCCAGCAAGCGACTTTCTAGGTGGCTTTGAGCATGGCAGAGTTGTTTTAAGCAGTGTGTTTGCAACGCGTTATTTGGAGTAGTCACTAGTCTTCTCTTGAAGGCTGTGACACTCGGGGTGGGAATTGCAACTTCCCTCGGGTTGTTTTCATGCCCTAGTTTGCTTAGAAGAAAAGCCCACAGAACCGCCTTTCCGCGTCGGGTTCCCATTTTTCCACCACACACGCACTTGGTTCCTGTTTTGCTTTTCCGTGGCTTTGAGCAGGGTTGCCGCACTGTCCCAAAGCTTCGCCAAACTTTGTCAAGTGACCTTGTTAGGCTGTGCTGGGGCCTTTTGACGGCCAGGGCTCGTTTTCTTGCTGCTGCTCAGTAGGGAACACAAGTATGATGGCTTTTAAGGGTCATTTCTTCATTGCCTGCCGAGCACAAGTTTTCCCTGGGCACAATGTCGTTTCCTGGTCAGGACATTCTGGCGGCCCAAGCAGCGGAGGAGGTCCGCATCTTCACCAACAGCGGAGCGGTCGCTTCGGTTTTAGCGAACGGTTCACGGTTTAATGTTGACCCCATGTCAATCAACCCCAGTGAGTTAATAGGGGGGTGTCCGTGGGTTTAGTGGGGAATCATCACTTTTGGAGGGGAACACCCCCCGATTAATAAGCTGGGGGGGTTGGTTAATATGGGGTGAACAGTACACCTGTCGACCGTGGCGAAAGTCAAGGTTTCCTCCTTAGATTGCCAGTTTCGTTTAACCTGCTTGTCTTTTGTGTTTCGTTTATTCTACATCTGCACCGGCAAGTTTCAACTTGCAGAGGGGCCAAGCCGAAGTCTGACCAAGGAAAATATTGCCTTCGTTTTTTTTTTACGCCTCACCGCTTGCCGCTTCGAGTGCCGCTTGTCCGTTTGGTTTTGGGGGATATGGCTGTGCCGCCACAAGCCACATGAGCCACGTCCTCAAACCCCGGCTCGATGAAGGTTAATAAGGGAGACTCCAAGCCATAAATAGCTTCGGCCACCTGCTTAATTATTACAGGGGTTTGGGTCGACCATTTTAATACCGGGTTTTGACTATGACTCACATGTTGACCTCTAGGCCAATGCCACCAGTATTGACCCAGCGGGTAAAACGATCTCGCCCGCAGTTTGCTCCAGCTGTTGAATTTGACAATCGCGCCGAACAGGACGGCCGGTCCAGCTGGCATTTGGTCTCTGAATCTGACTTAAGTTTGTTTGATCTATTTGCACAATATGAGCAGTTGTCTGCAGGTAGGGACAAGGGATTGTGATGAGTTGAGCATCTCAGATTATGCTGCAAGACTGTCAGCGGCGAGTCAATGTGCCTAGCAAATGCAGCAGAAATCGAAAATACGCCTGTGTGTTTGCGTTAGTGCACGGCATAGACCTGTTGATTGCTTCCAAGTAGGAAGAAACAATTGTGCTTTTGCATCGGTGTGGATTAAAAAGTTGCCTAACCCTACCTCAATCCCCCTGGAGGTGCGGGGTTCGGCAGGGTCAGAAGCATGTCGTTGGAAGGCAGTTTTTCCAGTCAAATCGCAGCACCGAAGAGACAACCCCAAAACCTGTATATACATATATATGTATATGTATACATATACGCCCAGTAGTTGTTTGAATTCATGAACCCTGTTTCTTCTCATTTCTTTCGCAGCGGTTCCTGGATTTAATGAACTCTCGTTGATCAATAGGGTGTGTCAACGTCCTATTGGGCGGATGCCTGACTTTGGCGAGGACCACCCGGTTTGCATTGGCTGCTTGCAGGTTTGTTTCCCACGCACCCTCAACAGTAATCAGGGGTTCAACTCAAACCACAAAGCCAAACCACCAAATAGTGATTACCTGATACCGGGTTGTTTCTTGTTCCTCCTGGGCTTAATCTTGACTGCTATTGGGTTGGATCTTTTAGATTTTAACTTTTTGGGGAACTCGGGGGGGGGGTTCCACTTAACCCACAAAAACTGAATAACTTTTTGCAGAGGGGTCAACAGCAACCAAGAAAACATCCTTACTAAAAGGGGACACCCCCCTATTAATCAACCAGGGGTTTATGAATCCAGGGTCAACATTACCTGATACCAGCTTGTTTCTTGTTCCCCCTGGGCTTAACATAAAGCCAGGAAGGCGCTTCCCTTTTAGACTTGTTCTCCCACCCCCCCAAGCCCTCCCCAAGAAGTGTTTTCCCCACTCAAAAGGTGCACTTGGCAAGCAAAGCGAAGACAATAAGCTTCCATTGGCTTAAGAAGACTTGTTATGTTGGCTTGAAAGGGAATCTACTGCAATCTACCGCTACTGAACCTGTGTTTTTTCCAGATGGCTTGGCCTCCCAGGAGCCTTCGCTCATTTAGACGCGCCTTGGAACGTTAGACCCGGGGGGTTTGCTCCTTTGGCCGGCCCCCCAAAATGACAAAAACCCGATGGGGTGAAGAACTTGGTGACGGTTGTCCGCAAGTTGCTCGTGGTTTGCTCTGATTTTGCGGACTTTCGTCACTTTTTGGTTTTGGACCATTTTAGTGGCAAACCAAAAGTTTGGTTTCTTCTAGTGGCCCGTCAGGCTAGTGAGACAACTGCCGCATCTCTTAGGACGATAAGAAGGAAACCCAAGCCCAGTAACGGGATCCCAAAAAATGGTCAAGTTCAGTTACCTAAAGGTGAAGCCAGCTCAGCGCAGCATATCACGTTTCCCTCGCCTCGTCCATGCGGCACCTTGCTTCAGGTTTCGTACAGCAGCATCTCTTAGGGGCTAGTAGAAGGGAACCCCCAGCAACGGGATCCCCTAATGGTCAAGTACAGAACCCTTGGCCGAAAGGCTGGAGGGAGCGCAAGCAAAAGAACATCGTCTGGATGTGTTTGAAATTGTCAGGATTGTCCAGCAAAACAAAACGGAGGGGTATGTACTTTAGTTTTTGTTGTTTTGTTTTTGATTTGTTTTTCGCTTTTGGCTTCTTGGCTTCTTGGCTTCTTGGCTTCTTGGCTTTTCGGCTTCTTGGCTTTTTGGCTTCTCGGCTTCTGGGCTTTTCGGCTTTTTGTTGGTTTAGGCGGCTTTTGGTGGCTTTTCGGCTTTTGTTGGTTTTCTGCAGCACGCGGCCTCCCCACTATCATAAGAGGTGATTTCAACCTCGAGATCGGTGAGTCCAAGCTCCTTCAAACTCTACCTCAAACCTTGTCTCTCCACCTTTGTTGGAAACACCTCTCCCACTTGCTTCAAAGGGATTGGTAGCCAGATTGAAAATGTGTTTGCAAATGCCCTTGCACTTAAAGCTTTCGTCGACTTTCAGGTTGGAAGCCGGGAAGGTTTTGCAGACCATGCGCCAGTGCTGTGCTCTTTCAACTGTGGAATTGCGTCCCAAATGGTGGTTCGTAGTCGCGATTACGGAGAGACTCCCGAGATCGCAGTGTCACCGACATGGGGGAGGGCTGGTTCCGCAGTTCCGAAGCGCTGAAGGAGTCATGGACGCAGAAGTTTCTGTTCGGGCAGGCGGGAGAGCAGAACGTGCGCTGGAGTTCCGGGATTTACTCGCTCTTTTCGCACTCTTTTGGCCCCTCTGGTTCGGAGGCGTCTTCGCCGCAGGCGTATGTGCAGTTGGTCTCCACATTGGTGGAAGGGGGGGGCCTTCAGTGCTGCAACGGCCTGCTTCCCTAGGCGGAACCTTTATGGATTTCGCCTTTGCGGAGATACTTCGGCGCAGCGACATGCCTGCGGGTGTGAAGTACGTGGTGCCCAATGTGCTCTATCAAGTCTGGTACGACGGTTCAGCGAGCCCTGGCGAGTACAGCCGAGAGGCCCTGAACGAGGTGGGGGATCTGTGCGAGTCAGGCGTCTTTCAGATGTGGGTGGCCGCAGAGCACCTTGCCATCTTCAAGACTTTGGAGGGCTTGTTAGACCTAGTGTAGAGGGCCTTGGCGCTGCGATGCGCAGCAAGCAGGCATGATTCGAGCTGCGCTGATCAGCCAGTATTCAGGAGCCGAGAAGTGGACGAGGGTGTCTCGGGAGAAGGCGTTGGAGTGAGAGTCCCGGATGGCTTTTGGACGGCCAGGCACCTCGCACCGCCAGCAAGAGGCACATGTGAGCCAGGCTTCCCTCATTGGCGGGACTATCCGAGCGATCCCGGGGGTGAGTGGCGTTCGGTCGCGGCAGACAGGGCGGCCGGCGAACCTCCCTGTGGTCACTTCGATTGGGACGAGCCGAAGGAATCTACTTCGCTGGCCGCGGCCGCTTTCGGCAACATGTCCTCGAGCGTGGAGTCTCTGACGAGCTTCGCGCTGAAGGACTGTCGGCCGTGGTTCCGCAACGAGACTCCTCGCGATGGGGGGTTCAACCCTCATCATTATGGTGGAGATTCTCGTGGATTTGCCAGCGTGGTTTCGCAGGTGCGAGTTCCAGAGTGCAAGAACGCGAGCTGCCAGGGGTGCTCCCTAGGGAACGAGAATGTCGAGTTCCTATGTGGAATGTCCCCGGGCGAGGCCTTTGCCTTGTACTCCGAAGTGTATGCCAACGTCGAGGATGCGAAACGCCCGCGGCTTCACGACGAAGCCGGCTGGGACTTGCTCCCGGGCGCTCCGGCGCCCAACATCCCGATCACGGCGCCGACCGGGTGTCATCGACGGCATCAGGGCGAGGACATTACCTTCGTGAGGTTGGCGTGGGCACTCCAGATTTTCATTCTGGGTTCGTGAAGAGCATAGCCAGCAAGGAGGGACGCGTCGATACGCCCTTCCGAAGCTGGCGTAGATGTGCGCCCGCGGCCGGCGCCGAAGCGTTGTGTGCGCGCTGATCACTGGAGCCGCGATTGTCTCAATCCATTTTCTTGCGGGAGTGTCCGGACAGCAACTCGCCCGTTCTGCCCGCTACAGCCTGGGCTTTCAAGACCATCTTTGACGACATGGGCTAGCAAGCCCTTTCACCGGGGCAGTGAGGCACCGGCCCACTTCGTCCCTGTCAACTTCACAGTGACAGACTTCTCCCTGTCTTGAAGACAAACCTTCCTCTGCATTCCCAGTTCCTCTTCGGCAGGTGGCGTTTTGGCTTTTGCGTTTTTGCGGCTTTTGGCGGCTTTGGCTTTTCGCTTTCACAGTTCCTCTTTTGGCTTTTTGGATTTGGCTTCCCGCATCATCAGCATCACCAGTTCCTCCCTATTTGAATCATCACTTCTTCGATCATCATGGGGGGGAAGCCCCCCCAACCCACCCGCTACTGTTTAGATTGTTTGCAGAGAAATTGCACCCCTATTTGAATAAACATCATGGGGGGGGCTGCCGCCCGCCCCAACCCCCCCCGCTACGTTTTAGATTTTCTACAGAGATTTAATTGCACCCTAGTTGCATCATCAATTCTTCGAACATCATGGGGGGGGCTGCCGCCCCCAACCCCCCCCTCCCCCCTTTTTAGACTTGTTGCAGAGATTGAATTGCACCCCTATTCGAATCATCACTTCTGCGAACATCATGGGGGCCCCCCTTCGCGTTTTTTTACAGGGACTCCTATTTAAATCATCATTTTTTGACCCCGTCAACCCGCCAGCAACTTTTTTCGATTTTGTTACCCACGATTTGTTGGTGATGCTAGGGATGTTAGTCGGACATGCGTGGGGTTGAAAACGAATGCCGGGGATGTTGGGCTAGTGTAAAATGCGTATTTCGCGAGAAAATGATGTAAAATACGACATTTTACTGGCCCGGACGAAAAACGGAAAGAAATCCACCCACCTGGACCTTCGTCCTCCTGAAAAAAAACCGTAGTTTCCGCCTTTGACTGGATATTCGGGAAATCGTAGCACTTTTTGCCGCAAAAACCTGAAACTCCTAAAACTCCTAAAAACACACTATTGCAACGTTCGCGGCCTTTGACAGAGTAACGGAAGGTTTGCAGGGGCAAACGTCTGAATGAAGCCCGCAAGTTTGTCAAAACATGCAACGGCATTCCAAAGTTGTGCGGTGCCGAAAAACCGTATATATACCCATTTTGACCGCAAAACGCCCGCAAATTTCCGCAACACTCCCGCAAAAACCCGCAAACTCCCGCAAATCAGAAAAAGTCGTAGTTTTGACGATCAAGGCATCCAATGGTGTTCACTGGCACGTTGGCAAGTGCTGCGAGGTGTATTTACTTTGTATGGCCAATGCGCCACTGGAAACGACGCAATTCGTATGTGTTTTTGCCCAAATTGTAGCTAAACCACTAGAATTCGGTAAATCGTAGGGGTCTCCTAAAACACCCAGAAATTTCCCGGAGTAGGTCCAGGCAAACAAAACTGTTCAGTTCTTGTGTTGGGGTTTGGCATTTGAGATCAGGATGGCCGGGTTCTCACCTGGGGCGACGCTTTGGGCGGTGGCGACAGCCGGTGTGTACAGGTGGCCCTGGAAGGCGCGACCCGGCCGGGAGTCGGGGAGGGGAGGGCCCGTGTTTGGCCAAAAACCCGGGTCAACTTCTTGGCGTGTCGGCCACAAAAAGCGGGAGACATGGACCAACTGGTTCAACTCACTGGGGGCGGGCCCTTCTTTTTTTGGCTTGCGCTATGAAGCAAGATTGGCTTAAGCTTTGCAACTTCGGGGACCTGAAATACAGGTGATGCACGCTGATGCAATATTGAACTGAGCATGTTATTCAAGGGGGTGGCCTGTTATCCAAGGTCTTTCCCAAGAGGGCATGTTATTTGTGTGTGTGTGTGTCCAGATTGTCGGGAAACACCCGGCAGGAACCGGTGTTTCTCAGGTCCATGCGAACAAGCCAGCCGCGTTTCTAAGTGTTGTTTGAGGTCAAGTACCCGGCCTGGTGTCTCTAAACTCAGCTTTCCTCCAATTGGTCGCTTGGAGCTTGGTGGTTTGGCGGTTCGGATCGATTTGGGTTCGGGGCTGGGTCTGGGCAGGTCTAAGTTGCATTGAATGACCTCCCCCCAGACAACCCAAGCGATGGATCCTCTCCACGCAGCAACTCAGTCCTCAGTAGGGTTCTTTTTGTGTTGTTGGTGGAGGGCGTTGAGCAAATGTGAGTTGCATTTGTTTACTCCTCCATTGGCCCCAAAGCAAGTTATCTCCAATGTCCTTTCCCTTTCAGGCCTCAACGTGTAATCTTATAATTTGGAGGTCACTTTTGAACAAAAGGTATTCTCACAATTTTAAAGGCAAGTTGAAATGGGCAAATGCAAGGTATACATGTTCAAACCTTATCCCCCCCAGCTTTGCCTGGCAAAACATCCTGCGCTTATTTGGTAACCCATTTGGTTGGTATGTCCATTTGGGGCACCTACCGAAGAGGTGTTGTCAACATCTTCTCGACGGACACCGCCTTTGCGGCCCTGAAGAGCAATGGCCGCGACTTGGCTTCTGCGCTTTGCGGGGGGGGGGGGGGGGGGCTTCTTTTTGTCATTTGCTTTGCCTCTGCGCTTCGGGGCGGCTTCTTTTTGTGATTTTGCCAGGGGTCCCTACATTTCCCGTTTTGGTGGTTTTAAACATCACCTGTTTGGCCCCTGAAAGGTGAGTGTCCCTTGGTGGGGGTGATGTTTTAAGGGGAAATATAGCGAGCCCTGTTTTGCCGGGTCCCTGAAAGGAGATCGAAAATAGGTACCCAAAATGGAACCTTGGCAAATGGAAACATGGACTACAACCTGCGGTCCTCTGGTGGTTTAATTTTGACACATACCCATATACATAATATTGGCCATAAAACCGGGCTGTTTCAAAGCTTGTTTGCCTGCACCGAGGCCGTATTCCATACGGGACCATATTTGCCCATCAGTCCTGGTGCTGGCAAAAGCCATCTACAAATGACTTATTCTTGGCGATGGGTAAGCGGGCTGGTTTCGCTGCAAATGTCTTTGAGTTCATTCGGAGTGACAATTTCCAATGACCTGCAAGTAGTTTAGTGAAGTCCAAACTAACTCACTAGACATGATTTTGCGAACCTTGCAGTCAACCCCCCAAAAGGGCTCCCTTGTTCTACCAGGATCACTGGACAACTGAGAGTAAGGCTTTGCACATTTGTGGGCCTCGCCTGAAGTGGGGGTTCCTTACCGATTCCTTCAGATTAACGAACCATTATTGAAAATGGCTCCGCAGGTTATGAACTCCGAATGACAACCCAGAATTAAAGAAACACTAAGAAACCTGTTGATGTATAGGGAATGTCCCATGCAAAACTCATTGTGTCTGGAAACAGGTCTATTTGTTCACCGGTTTTATTAACCCAGGGTGGACAGCATGCCGAGGGGTTGACGTAACGGTTTTCCACAACCCGCCTATTGATTGGGCGCACTTGCCATGCGCGAGCATGGTGCGGGTAGCCAAACGCAGCGTTCCTAGCTTGATGTTTAAATCTGGCCACAAGAATCTGGACATGAGCC